TTTCTTTCACTTCCTGCAAACAAAGAAAACATGTCAATTTTTTTTTAAATATATATATACAAATTATTTTAATTTAATTAAGATATCAGTTAGACTTTGTAATCAACTAAATTCATAGCGTATATTAGTAGCATCATATAAAGTTAATACATATTTTTTATTTATTACTTTTTTAAAAACTTACCTTGATATTTTGTTTCCTTTAAATCTGAAGAGGAACCATTTAACTCTTGCATCTGAAAAGTAATTTAAAAATTAGTTAAATACCTATAAAAAAAATATTGATGTTTTGGGTTTTAAAATTTATTTCAGTGTAGTTTTATCAGCATTATTATTTTTTTATGACAGGGATAACTAAGTTCATCATAGAAAAGAAGAAACAAGTCAAATTTTTTTAAAATATACAAATTATTTTAATTTAATTAAGATATCAGTTAGACTTTGTAATCAACTAAATTCATAGAGTATATTAGTAGCATCATATAAAGTTAATACATTGTTTTTATTTATTACTTTTATAAAAACTCACCTTGATATTCTGCTTCCTTTAAATCTGAAGAGGAATCATTGACCTCTTGCATCTAAAAAGTAATTTAAAAATTAGTTTAATACCTATAAAAAAATATTGATGTTTTGGGTTTTAAAATTTATTTCAGTGTAGTTTTATCAGCATTATAATTTTTTTATGACAGGGATAACTAAGTTCATCATAAAAAAGAAGAAATGCATTTAAAAGACAAATATTTTACTCACCATGTAAGAAAATTAATATTTTTTCGTTTTCCAGTTTTGGTACAATATCTGTAAAAAAATATTCTTATTAATAATTGTTCTGCATACTAGAAATACTATTTTCAAGTTTAATTTTTAATCAGTGAGGGCAAGTACTAATCATGAAGGTTTCATAATAGCGTATAATATTTGATCATCACATTAATCATTAAAATGTAAGCTATAAATATAACTTTGATACTTACATTATGTACATTGTTGGGTTTGGATTCCAGTATTAAATTGCTTGTTTTGTCTATTTCCTGTAACAAAAAAGGATGCATTAGTTACCAGTTTTATAAAATAATAAATAAAAACAAGTTTAGCCATATATCAGTGAGGGCAAGTAGAAATCAACAAATTTCATAATAGCGTATAATATTGGATCATCATTGAAAGCAAATTACAAAATAGGTATACATGTTTTTATCTTACCTAGACAAATGATCCCAACGTTTTTTCTTCATAATGGTTATGGTAATAGTGCCTGTAAAAAGAGTTATATTTTAAATAATTTAAATAGAAAATAATGTATGAATTGGTAATTTAAAAAACATTATTTATCAGAATTGTACAATGTCATCAAATATTTTTATTTATGACAGGGATAACTAAAAGCATCATGTAAAATAAAGGAAAACCAGCATAAAATAATAATGTAACTTATCTTACCTAAATGAGTAGAAGAAGTAGGTGGAAGTTTTCTAAATTATCTACAAAGTAAAAATTATTGTAAAATAGTGGTTAAAAATAAATAGAAAATGATAAATTTTTTACAGATCATAACAATAAAATTGCAGCCAAAAATTATAATCAATATATTCAGACGGTAATTATTTTAATCATGTCAGAAACGCTTTTTTTCAAACGTTTGCAGTGAGCATAAAATATTGAAAAAAGCTCACCCAAATTTTATGAAATAAATTAGCATATTAGTATTATTGCCCCCTTTGTAAACAGAGAATTTTCGAGCGTAAAAAATTGGGTTTTCCGGCCGAAAAAATAGAAATAAATATAGTTTGTATACTATTATAATTAGGAACAACACTTCAGATCAATCAGTAAATTGGTTTTCGAGAAATCTTGCTCACGATTCCGAGATTAACGCGTTTAAAGTTTAGTTCATTTATTTCACTTTTACAAAGAATACATACCCATTTATTGAATTCATTTTCATTTAACATAAGCTTTCAATTGGCATTTCTGAAAAAAAAGAAACACATTTAGAACTTGCGCAAAAAAAGTAAATATTATTTAATAAAGTTTAAAAATCAGTTACATAAAATGCAGCCAAATTAATAATCATAATAATCAGACGGTAATTATTTTCATCATTTAAAAAAAGTAAATCAGAGTCCATTGACATTTATAAAGCAGGTAGTCCCACTGGAACATTCCTCTCAAGTTAAAATAGAAAAACCATCATTTGTTTAAATTTAATACAATATACTAACCATTTAGGACATCCAGAAAAAATGGATTTAAGGAACATCAATAATCTGTAAAAAAACGAATGATAATTAATAAAACGATTTTGAAAGTAGGTTGTATAAAAACATATACAAAAATATTTCAGAACATAAATAATCACAGTAATTCAGATTGACTGAGGCGTTATGTGCAATTTCATCATTTTAAAATAAAGTTATTCTAAAAAGCATGGAAAAATTATTACCTTTCAATATCCATGTGCTTGCTTGTTTTTCATAAATATTGATTTTTGGTACAGTACAGCACCTATAACAAAGAAAATACTATATTTAAAACTTGGAAAAAAAAATTAAAAATTAAATTTATAGAATCAGGTATCCTAGGTCAACACAAACCCACAGAACACAAAGTGTTCTGCAAGCATAACATTCAGTCATATGCTTGTCAAGTTTTCATCATAAAATTGGTAATATGAAATATTATTAAAATAATGCTTACCATTTCTGGGTTCAGTTTGAGACATGTTCCAGGAATACTGTAAAACAAAAATAAACCAATTTGAATTAATGGAGTAGGTACATAGGTTTAATATAAATAAATATATTTTAATTTCAGAACATAAATAATCACAGTAATTTTCAGATTGACTGAGGCATTATGTGCAATTTCATCATTGTAAAACAAAATTATTTAAAAACATGTATAGATATAATACCTTAAAATTTGTATTAATCAAGATTTTCCTGGATTTTTCATTTTCTTTTATTTTTAGAAGTACAGCACCTATAACAAAGAAATTACCATTGAATTTTAAATAAAATATTAAGAAAAAAATAAGAAATTATATTTTATAAATCAGGTATCCTAGGTCAACACAAACCCACAGAACACAGAGTGTTCTGTAAGCATAACATTCAGTCATATGCTTGTCAAGTTTTCATCATAAAAAATGTTCACACTAGTGCACAATAATGAATCTTTCTGTACTATGCTCTACATTTTAATACAATTTGTATTATACAAATTAAATATAACATAATGCAATATACATATGTATTTTTGGGTTCTAAATTAAAACCTTTAACACAAAAGGGTGATTCAAAAAATCCCCTTTTTTCTTTTTGACTTCTGATATCAAAAAATTAGTTGCTGGGCACCTCAATAGAAGCCTGTCTACGTATGAGGCTCATACTATGAGCTCTTACTATTAAGAGTAAGATCATCCTCATAACAATTTTCCATTTTCAAATTATTCTATGAAACCTAACAATTTAAAAGATATTTTTGGTAAAAGTATATAAAGTTAAAAAAAAATAAAATTTTTATAACTTGCATGTTCTGCCTGCTCGATTAGGTAACTGAAATGCTTAATTTCCAACAAAATATGTACTACCACTCAATTTAAAATTTTAACTATTTTGCGAGTTATAAAATTTGTAGGAAATAAATCTATTTTTAAAACTTTGACCCAAGATATCTTTTAAATGGATAGGTTTACAAAAAAACATAAGATAGGTAGGTAACTTTTTGTAAAACATTCAATTCCCCATCAAAATGTCTATCTAACTAAAATACATAAATAAACACAATTATTTGTATAGAAATGCCAAGGTGGGACTTGCTGAGTCTATGCCATAGGCTGGCATAGTTTATGTTATGGATATTAAGTCACTTAATCAGAGCACTTAATTTAAGTGCTCTGATTTTTACTCCTGGTGATATAAATAATAATAATTTATTTAACAGAATTACATTCCAATTTTAGGACAAATAGGTATAAGATAAGACAATAGTATGTTATTAAAAATAAATTAACAATTGCTGTTCAAATATATTTATATTTATATTCGTATCAGGCCAACGATTTTTTTATAGAAAGAAACTTTAAATAATAAAAATAAACTTTATTGGATTACTCCAGAAGACTAACGACCTTAGTCTTTCTGCCTTTAAATTTGATCAATTTTATTGGTAAAATTTCATGTTATTTGCATAAATTCGATATTATGAACATAGATCTAGGATTACAAAACCGCTATTTTTCGTTTTTTTTTAACTGCTATCAACTGCTAGCATGCTATGAGATAGTAGCAGCTAATTAGCAACCCTTTCTACACTCTTATAGATTACAATAATTGTTTATAAATACCTTTTTTGGAGGCCTGTACTATAGCTTCTCATCATTTTTCTTGCTCTGTAAATAAAATTTACATTAGTTTTCATACCTACATGGTAAAATCAAGTTAAATATGAAATCCGATAAATTCAGGAATTTCCGAAATATCTTAATCATGTGTTCATACGAACGAGACATATTATCTCATCATTATAAAATTCAGAACAGAAATAAGCAAAATATTATACATTTATTATTAATTTGTTCATATGCCTGTTGCACGTGAGACCCAAAATATTGGCCAGAATGTTTAATACTGTTTATAATTAAATTAATTTTATAACAATAGCAAAGAAAAATAATAGGATTACCTTAATAAATAGGGATAAACTTTTATAACACGACCTTCTCTCGGGAACAATTCAACAAAAAAGAAATTTGCATGGGAAGTTTGAAATGAAGTTGACAACATATGCGCCGAAAAACCATCGCGCAGTAGTTTAAATGTACGCTATGTTGCCAAATTCAATATTTCTGTTTAGCGAATGCTTTCAAAAGCATATTCTATTATCTATTTATTTTGTATGGTAGAATCGTTGATTAATCCTTAATCAATGGGAAAATAATACGTTCATTATAATTTATTTTATATTTAGAGTATTTTAGATGGTTTTATTTACAGCTACAACTGCGCTGGCAACAGCAACACCTTTATCCCACATGTCAAGCTGTCAAAACATAACCACAAATTAAAAATATTTTCCCTACGAACTAAAGTCATGGAAAACGTTGAAAAGTAAGAAACCGATTATCCAATGTATATAATGTTGCTAAATTTTTAGTTTCAGCCTTTTAACTGAAGCACCTTGTAAGGAAATAATTGACGACATAGAGGATTTAATATCTTCACAGGACATAACACCGAACGAACGTTACGCCAGCCGGAAAAATGTAAAAGTTAAAGCTAAAAGAAGGGTAAGCTAAAGTTTTATTCATAAAAGTAACATTTATAAACTTCATTTAATTTTAGGATGTCAATAAGGAAAATGTACCTGCCCCAGTGGGTGAAAATATACCAGGAACACAAAAAATATACGTTAAAACTTGGGGTTGTGCTCATAACAGTTCAGATTCTGAATATATGGCAGGTCAATTAGCTGCCTATGGATATCAGTTAACAGATGACAAAAGTAAAGCTGACTTGTGGCTCCTAAACAGTTGTACTGTGAAAAATCCTTCTGAAGATCACTTCAGGTATAACCATAACCTTATGTATATTTTCTAACGTTTTTATTTATACTGGGTGTCCCAAAAATGGTATACCATGGATTTGAGGAGATTATTTTAAGTGAAAAAAGTCCATTTTTAACACAATTTTTGCTTTGTTATCAATTGATCGACTTGAGTTGACTTGACCCTGGGTTTAAAAATATAATTTAATTTTTAATTTCATAAACTTTAAGTTGCTGTGTCCTCCTAAATTACTATAGGATAATAGTTGAATATATTGAACTAAAATTGTCCTCAGGGTTGCCTACGCAGAATTACTGGCATTTTTTCCCGCAATTAGTGGAATTTTACTGTCAATTTATTTAGGGGACATCCATTAATTACGTGAGGCATTTTTTTGATAATTTGATGAGATGTGGTAACCCCCCCTATCCCTCATGTGAGATTCTAGCCATTAACGGACAACATGATAAACAAAAAAAATAAAAATTGATTACTTATTTTTTGACAAATTTGAGTTATAAATTATAATTTATAATACATATTCTTTAAACTCAAAAGTTGACGTGAGATTTTTAATGACCCCCCCCCTCCCTTAACATGAGATTTGGTGAGATTTTGCTAGACCCCTCCCCCCCTATTTTTATCTCATGTAATTAATGGATGTCCCCTTATGTTCCTAGATAAATAGGGTTAGGTTAAATGAAATAATTTTATAAGGCTGAAGGCTGGTTACACTATGATAATGTTAGTGCTAAAAAGAGTAACTTTTACTGGCATTAACTTCCCAGTAAACATTTGTGATTGCGTATTGAAATCACTCCGAAATCTCGTCGTGACATCGTGATATCACTGGCGCATTCATATGTTTCTACAATACACAATCAATGGGATATCAAGTCGTGACATTCAAGCGCAATACGCACTCAATGGGATATCACTCCGTGACATTGCTAGCGCGCATGCGCGAGCGAAAGTGCAGGGGAATATTTAAAACATGTTGGAGCTGTGATAAACGAAAAAAGCGTCGTTGCTATCGTTAATTGCGATGCAACGTCTTTTAAAACACGTTGCATCGCTATAGCGATAGTAACAATAGCGACGACCCTCTTATCGTATATCACAGCTTCAACATACTTGCGGCCTTGGGTGAAACAAAATTATGGGCTAAAATATTAACAGTCAACGTTTATTTAAATAAAATAATAATAAGACAAGTTTTGCACACTACCTTTATACAGGGTGCATCAAGTATCCTATAAGTATAATACCTACATGTATACAGGGTGACACATATTATTTATTTTTTGGGCGAATTTGATAAAACCTTTTAGGTTTTTAGTAGTAGGCAAAGGGCTTAATTTAATGTAAATTAAATTTAGTTAATCCAGAGGCGGCGCTGGAACATCCCAAATAGATATTTAAAATAAAATTTGGGTATGATACTGCTTTTTTAAGTTTATTATTATTTATAGATTACAAATAAAACGGAAACGAATTTAATTTTTTTCTTCGCTTGCAAAATTGCAAACAAATATAAAGTGAAGTTATATATTTTTGGGGAAAGAAAAAAGTCTTTGTCTAACAATAATAACATAATACGTAATTAACGTATTATGAACAAATTAAAGTAATGTCATTTAAATGAAAAGTTTCGTCCCTGCGGGGTCACTTCGTGACATAAAAAGATCACGCGCGTGTCACTGCTTGACATAAAACGACAAACTTAATCACTGTGCCAGCAATTGGATATCAAGTTGTGACATGTCACGTCGTGACTTTTTCGTGATATCACAAATGTTTACTGGGTTAATACTGGCAGACCCTTAAATTACTGGCAAATCAGTAACCCTGATTGTCCTACACGCTTAAGTGGACACTTTTCTGGGTAGGTACTTATAAGCATGGTTCGAAAATAGCTATTTACATACCATGGGAGGAAAATATTGCATTTCCTTCCGCGAATAGTTTGATGCCCGACGCGAAGCGAAGGGCATTAAATATTCAAGGGAGGAAATGCATTTTCCTCCTGAGGTATGTATATAGTTTTTTCTATTACCTTTTAACGGTTTTAAGACATTTTAAGCGTTCCGGTTCCTTTTACCTACCCGGTATGAGGCTATAAAATTATGACAAAATATTAAGTAGGTTTAGCCGACGTTATGTTGACAACGCTTTGTTGCTATGGTATTTTTGGTAATACCAACATAACAGTTTTTATAAGCTGTCATAATGTTTATCATAAATTTTATATTTGCAATTAATTTCCTTCCTTAAAAATCTAAAATAGTGAATATAAATATAGTTTGTTAAAAGAATGTTAAAAGAATGGTTGGACAAGCGCGGAGTAAATCTTTTTCCTACAAAATCAAGGTACAAAAACTCTTGCCAATATAAATTTAAAAAAAAAGAGGGAGGAAATTTTTTTTCCTCCCGGGGAGGAAATTTTTTTTCCTCCCGGGGAGGAAAAGAGGCATTTTCCTCCCTCGCTCGGGGGGTGGAAAATTAAGTTTTCTAGTAAGGTAGTAGAAAAAATCATGATTTTGAAAAAATCAAAAATCAATGATTTTTATTAAAAAAATCAAAAAATTCAACAAAAAATAATTTTTATAGTTTTTTTTAACTAACTGAACTGCATTTTAAAATAGTAAAAGACAAAATATATGAATTTATGGCAACATAATAGGTATATTTAATATATTATAACCATTGATAATACTTATTCACTTATTGTTATAACATTATTGTCTTTAATGATTCATAATGCTGTTGTCATGGTTTGCATTTAGAGGACTCATACAATTTTTTACTGTAAAGGTTAAACAAAAAATAAATGGATTATTGGTAATTTTGTGTTAAAATTTATAGTTTCTTTATAACCCAGTAAGCACAAATACGTCCTTAGGCTGTCCTCGGGACGTCAGCTTGGGACATTGCGGAAGTACTCAGGACGTTCCGCAATGTCCGTTTGACGTCCCTAGGAGGTCTACAGACGGCCAAATGATACACTCTCAGATGTCCGTAGGACGTCCTGATTAGGACTATATTGGGATATACTCAGAACAGCTTATTAAGGTACTGTGAGGGCTTTTTGAGACTTTTCTTTGAAAATCCGCATGTTGTCATGATAACTATACAGGGTCTTCGGAAACGGTTGGGTCAACTTTTAAGGGTTGGCAGTCATTCACAAATATTTTGATATAAGGAACATGTGTCTGGAAACGCCCTTTTCAGAACTACAGACTTTAAAAGCGCACGCTTTGTTTTAATATGGCGTGCAGGAACCTTGCAGGCGGACAGCAGACATGTCTGTTGCCGGCTCCGCTGCGCATTGTTCCTCGCTGCAGTCCGCACGGCATAGACTGCGCGCCAAATTCAAACGCCTCTAGCTTGGCAAGGGGAAGTTTCCGGACATAATATGTTCCTTGTATCAAAATTTTTCTCCCAGCATGGCCTACCACCCGGCCTAACCTTTTCCGAACACTGTATGTATTTCGATAATTTCAATACGGTTTCACTTAAAACCCTTACCTCAAAATAAGTAAAATTCATTAATTTTAAATTTAGGCTTATCACAAATGAACAAAAAAGATTGTTAACAGAATTCTTCAATTTCCAACGAAACATTGTAAAAATTAAATTGAAATAAATGAGAAATATATAATTTTAAAGTACTTACCAATTGTATTTTACGGCCAGGACCAGGTAAAATTAATCACAAACAATAACGCCAATTTATGTTTATCACTTGCGAAATAATTAACTATGGCATAGTGCCACTAGCACATTTAAAAGAAAATAGATTTTACCCTTAGCGGCTTGGCATCCATATTGGTTTCAGCCACCCAACAGTTGGCAAATTCGGCAACTGTCGGAGCACTTCGAGTAACGATCGATACAAAACGGTGGCAGCACAGTCGAAGCCAGCCGTATTCAAATTCAAATAAGATATTATGCGCAGAAAGCAAAGTTATGCAGAACGATAAATGACAGGTAACAAATGACAGGTGATGGAAAGTGACAGATATCTGCCGCCTTGTATCATATTACAGGTGACAAATGAAGGTGGCAAATGACAGATAGGAAAATGACAGGTGGCAGATTATGAAAGGTGACAGATATTTGTCGCCTTGCATCATATGACAGGTGACAGATATCTGTCACTTTGCATCAGATGATGCAAATGCTATACATTTTTTGCCTTTTGGAAAGACGGCATGAAGATATCCAATATATATATATATGTATATATAGTATACTATTGGCAATTTAATTCTATGACGTCCTATGGACGTCCAAGGTACGTCAGAAATGGGATACCCAATATACTATACCCAATTTAATTTCAGGACGTCCCATGGACGTCCAAGGTACAAAGTACAGAAATGGGATATCCTAAACTGGCCCGGACAGACCCAATCAGGATGTCCTTGGGAGGTCGTGTGCTATTTGGGAAGATGTTTGAACAAATTTTAAACATGTAAATTAAAATTAAAAACAAGGTTTTGCTTAAACTAATTGTATCTTTTGGCAAGGGCTTGGCCTAGGGGGAGGCAGGGGATGCAGCTTCTACCCCCCTAGAAACTTGAAAAAAAAATAATCCAATTGTTCTATTTATTTAATTAACGATTTTCTTAAATAAATCACGGAAGAATAAATTATTTTGTATATAAGTTTTTGTAATTTTGTAATTTTAAATTTTGTTTTAATTTAATGATGAATCATTAATAATTTTCGTTTAGAACGTGTTTTTGTTTGCTCAATTCGAAAAGTTTTTGATGGATTTGACCCATTTTCAATAGGGACGAATTCCTGTCCCTAAGCAAATTTCTCTTTGTAAGCGATTTCCGGTAAACGGACCAAATTGGACGGAAAAATGGTCTAGAAATACGAAAGTGGACGAAAAAAATGGTATAAATTTTCAGTTTTCAGGGTTATCGGTTTTCGAGCCATCGAGATTTAAGAAAAAGCGATTTACAACATAAAAAAAGTTCAGAATTCGATGGTGTTTCTATCCATACATATAAGTTAAAATAAAGGGGTTTACTTAGAATATTTTTTTGGTTTCTGCTTTTATATTTTAACAATTTTAAATTGTTAAAGACTCCGACAAAAAATCTTGAATATATTTTTTACATTCTTCTTCTTTAAACACCAATTAACCAATTAAATACTTTATTATGATTATACACCATATAAAATATAACATAGGCACCTAATACTTATGTCAAAAATATTATTATTTGTGGTATTCCATTGGTGATTTTAAAAAGTTTTGTATACAGGGTGTCCCACAATTAGTGCGACAAAATGAAGGTGTACACCTTCATTTTGTCGCACTAATTGTATTATCTAAAGAAGGAATTCCAGAAAATTGTTTAAAAAATTCTTTCTTCATTATTTAATAAGATACAGGGGAGTAAAATGACGTAAAATAAATAACCTATAACTTAAAGCAACAAATTTTGACATTTAAATTTGGCATTTTCTAACATTGTTGTTTGTTGTCATGATGATTAAGAATTAAACTATTATAATAAGCTTAGAAGAAAAAACAACAGGAAGGAGTCTTGTCATTCTTTAGCCGTACTAAAATTGCGTCGGAAGTCGGCCATTTGCAAGCACCAAATTTTGACACATATGTGTCAAAATTTGTGATGCTATATTTGTCAAAGTTGAATGTTTTATGTGTTTGTCGGTGTTTTATGTTGTTTTTCTGCTTAAATTAACTTTTAATAAGCGTTTCATTGTTTCTAGACAGTATTTTATTTGATATATTCTCGTTTAAGTGTAAATATTTAAAGTTTAAGATATAAATATTAGTGTTTAAGGTGTAAAAACAAATTATGGTTAGTTGTGCAGCTTGTGGTTGCTCCTTGAGCACAAAAATTAAAAATATTCATTTACATTTCATAGGTGAGTATTTTGGTTAACGTTTAATTTATTTACTTATTGTATATTTTAAAATAATTAGTTGTAAATATTAAACATAAATCAATGTCAAATAACGTAACCTTAGAACATAACCATAACCTAAGAACGTCACCATCATAGAAAAAACCATAGGCGTATCATATTTTCTGATACTAACCTAATTATTATAAAAATTAAACTTCAATTGTATTTACTACGCCACTGTCAAACGGAAACAACTATCCGCCATATTGAAGCACCACTTTGGACCCAAGGTCATTTATTAAATGCTCCTTCCTGTTGTTTTTTCTTCTAAGATAATAAGTATACTTTGTTATGAGGCAATGTTGCCATATAAAGAAAATATGACTCCCCTGTATCTTATTAAATAATGAAGAAAGAATTTTCTGGAATTCCAGGGGTCTTTAGATAATACACCTTCATTTTGTCGCACTAATTGTGGGACACCCTGTATAACATAATATGGCATATTATTTTTTATACAAAATTCACCAGCGAAATACTCACAAATATTATTTATGAAATATTTTTGACAGTTCTGACACCAAACATGAATTGAGAAAGTCAAAGCCATCTAAATTTTAAATAAAACTAATATCGCTTTTTAACTGGCATTAAAAAAATTAATATATCTTTTAAATGGATAAAAATAACAAAACAAGACTAACTGGGCTGAAAAGATAAAGGGGGAGTACTTTTCCTAAAAGTTTCAGATTTTTAATTTGTCTTCAACATAATGATTTCTGAGGGCAAAATTGGCTAATTTTAAAAATTATCAAGTTTCAATAATATTTTTAATAAATAAAGTGAGTCTACAAACTTAATAATCGTTACGTTTTCTATTATATAAGTACTTGATACCTGAAAAAAATTTACTTTCTAGATTTACTAGAATAGGCACAGGAGCCAGTCGAAAATCACAAAAATTGGCAAATTATCATGAACCTTTAGTGGTTTACCATCCTTTTATTAACTAATTGGATAATAATAATTTATACCGAAAACACACAGTAAGGACAGTAAAACAAAATTAAAATCATTTTAATATTTGTAACAGAAAAAAAGTTCTAGCCCACTATAAAAGAGTAAGAAATTAACACGACTTTAGACTTCTTCAGGGTGCCATTAAAAGTAAAGCAACCAAAAATTAAAACAGCAACGGTTTTTCATATTTGATAGCTAAAAGATCATCCTCAAATTTTTTCATAAAAATAAAAAATCACGCAACGCACCTCGTGTTTTTATTTGGAATGACTCAGGGATGATCGCAAACAAATGGGTGATGATAGTTTTGAATAAGAAGTTTTTTGAAATAAAAAGGTTTATTTTTTAAAAATTTAAAAATTAAATTATTTTATTTTAAAATTTAGGTTTTAGGTATATGTAAACTATTTGAAAAGTGTTTTATAATACTAAATAATAATAAATAATTATATTTTTAGAAATGAGATTGAATCAGCTAAAAAGGATTCAAAACATGTAGTGTTGGCAGGTTGCGTACCGCAAGGGGCCCCTAAATCCTCATTTGTCCAGGGCCTTAGTGTCATAGGAGTACAACAAATTGACAGAGTTGTGGAAGTAGTCGAAGAGACTTTAAAAGGCAACACTGTCAAACTATTGGGGACCAAAAAAGAGAATGGCAAAAAAATTGGCGGCGCTTCTTTACTGTTGCCAAAAGTCAGAAGAAATCCTCTGATAGAAATAATAGCCATTAACACTGGTTGCTTGAATCAGTGTACTTATTGCAAGACCAAACATGCTAGAGGAGATTTGGGAAGTTACCCTCCAGAGGAAATTGTCGCCAGGGCCAAACAGGCGTTTGAGGAAGGAGTGGTGGAGATTTGGCTTACCTCTGAGGACACAGGTGAAAAGTTTCAAAAAATCTTGGTTTAAAATACGCACTATAGTAATTAACGTTACAAGGTCGGCAAATGAAGAGTACTGTTAAAGCACTTCACGGCCATGTATCGTAATTTTCATGTTTTATGTATTGTCAGAACTTATTTAACACACATAATATTTTATAAAATCATTACGAAATTACTTATTTTTACTTATTTTTAGGAACATATGGCAGAGATATAGGAACTTCATTGCCTGAATTGTTATGGAAGTTGGTAGAAGTTATACCAAAAGGTTGTCGTTTAAGATTGGGTATGACCAATCCCCCTTATATATTGGAGCATTTGGAAGAAATCGCAAAAATAATGGCGCATCCCAGAGTATATGGATTTCTACATGTCCCTGTTCAATCAGGCAGTGACTCAGTCCTAGGTGATATGAAAAGAGAGTATTGCAGAAGTGATTTTGAACATGTTGTGGAGTTTTTACAAAAGAAGTAAGTAATTTATATTTTAAAAATTTCTCATTTATAAAAAATGTATTAACTATGCTTTTTAAAACTTTTCTGCCAGTATTATAATTTAAAAACTAAATCAAATTGTTGTAATTAGACTGAACACAAATACATTTCTCTAGCACGTACGTTTACGGACTTTGAATAAGTCTTACCTTAATCGGACAAAAAAAATATATTTTTAGGTTCTAGTTTATTAAATTCTTTTTAAAATTATATATCACAACCTACACTTTTCTTTAAAAACAACAAAATATACCTAAAAAACAAAATTCATGTAGTAGCTTCAGACTTCTACAAAATTGTCATTTTTAACCATATTTCCGTTTGTTTTCGACAAAAATATACCGTGTTATATATGAAACAAAAGGATTTTTAATTTTCTTTTAAATGATAGCTAAAATAGTAAACAATCTAAAGAATGTTTTCTTGTATTATGCAAACTTTATATTTTTTCTATTATGAGATTTTTGAGTAACAAGATCCACATTACAATAGCTGGCCATACACAGGCGTTATTTCGCGCGGTTTATCGTGGCGTGTTGGGATGTAGCGGTTAGTATGCACGAAAGAACGGCATGGCAAAAAAAGCGTCATGTTCCATACACTTGATAAAGTATTCAAATGATTTAGCAAGTGATTGCCCGTGGTATATCAGTTTCAAACGAAAAATCGTATGTGAGTAGGCAAAAAGTGTCATTTATCGAGTCGTTTGAAACTGCATGTGATCATGTACAAATTTTCAACGTGAAATTTTGCCAAGCAAAGGTAAACCGTGACGCGGAATGTGGCGTGTGGACACTCCACACTTCAGAGGAAAGCACGTCTGAAATCCCTTCCCGTTCTATCATTGCGCGCGGCGATACTCACTCACGTACATGATTTTCCATATGTTTTTGCAGATAACACGATAAACCGCGCGCAATAACGTCTGTGTTAACCTTTTTTTTCTCAAAATAAAAATATAACATTATTTGACTTTGGCCTAGTTTTTTAGTAACATCAGAAATGTCTACTTGTGTATATACCCCAGATACTCGTATATACAAAATTAGTAATTTTACCCCTTTTAATTTTATAAAAAAAAAACTCGTCGAGCGATTTGGCTATAAAACTAGTCAATGTAACTAGAGATGCGACTTGAAAAAAAAACGGTCCGTTTTTTTTTGGTTTTTTTCAGGTTTTTTTTCATTGTTTTTTTTTCAAATGGTTTTTTTTTCACATTTTAGGTTTTTTTTCAAGATTAGTCCCATTTGCCTAATTTTTTATGTTTCCATGGACTAAAATTAGCCACTAAATCACAATTAGTAAATGTAAATACAGTCTCGCGCTATGCACGCGCCACCACCACCGAATGGACCAATAAGGGCCGCGCTTGTTTTGATTTGGTCCTAAAAAAAGTAACTACATATAATATTTTTGATTCAGCGCTTGATTTTTCAAAAAGCTACCAAAAGCACTTTTTTCATGATTTTTCAAATTTATGTAGAGTATGGAAAATTTTTTTCTCCAAAAAAAACAATAGCAAATTCTTGTAGAACATTTATTCATTGGTGGTCAGAACATTCCGTGGACCAAAAAAGAAAGCAAAAAAATTTGATTTTTTTTATTACGGTATTCGTTAGAATTGAGCGTAGCACGTTTATCGTCTAAAAATCTCAAAACTATAAACTTCCAATTTAAATTGCTTTTTTTACGACTCCAATACGACCATTTTAAAAAAAGATACAAATCACAAAAACAATTTTTTATCCTTTAATTTTTTGTATTAGGGTAGAAGTTTTACATTACTATTGGTTTTTAATGTGGAAACTACCAAATAAGATTTTTTTAGTCTTGGTCAAAATTTTCTATAATGAAAAATGTAATATAGGTATTCTACATTTTACTCAAAATTTTATTTTGAAAAAAAACAAAAAAAACCGGTTTTTTTTCTAGGTTTTTTTCATGTTTTTTTTCACATCTGAAAAAAAACCGTTTTTTTACATCTCTAAATGTAACCTATTTGCACAAAAGAAGTCATGTTTATTTATATATTTTTTAATAATTATTTATTTTTTAAGTAGGTACAGTGTAGAGTTGTTTTTATTTAATTACATAAATTCTTTATTTCTCCTAAAACTCTCCAAAAAACCTCCTAAATTTTTAGCTGTGGGAGCCCTGTTCTAATCATGTATTATTTTGTAGTGTTCCAGGTATGACCATCGCAACTGACATAATATGTGGATTCCCCTCTGAAACTGACGCCGATTTTGACGAAACAATAAGTTTATGCGAAAAATATAAATTCCCCAGTCTGTTTATAAATCAGTTTTTCCCGCGTCCTGGCACACCAGCCGCATTGATGCCCAGAATACCGGCGCAGGAAGTCAAGCAAAGAACCAAAAAATTGACAGATCTCTTTTACACATACCAACCTTATACGCATAAATTGGGGGAAGTACAGGAGGTGTTGGTTACTGAAGTATCGCACGATAAAAAGCATTACGTTGGTCACAATGAATTTTATGAGCAAGTTTTGGTACCCATGAATATGAAATATATGGGTAAACTTGTGAAAGTTAAGATTGTGGAAACAAGTAAATTTTCGATGATGGGACAGCCATTAGATGATGTAACCATGCCTGGTTTAACTAAACCCCTGGTTAAGGGAGAAATATCGGGCGTTGTTAAGGAATCGCCTGACTATAAAATAATTGTCGCATTATTTTTGTTGTTTATTTCTATAGTTTTGAAGTTTTTTTGGATGAACTCGCAATAAATATATTGTTTACTAAATATTTACTTTTATTTTAACAAAAGCTGTTTTTTTTTTGTTTATGGATTATTTTTTATGTTTTATAGACATATTAAAATAGTGTTAAAAAACTGAACCGAACTTAATTTTGATGTGACAAATTTTTTGTGTGTTTTTGTTAATAAATAGGTAAATTTTAAACCAATAAAATTTTAAATTAAAAAATTACCTATTTAATAAATGTTAAAACGGCGTGCCATAAATATAGGTAGTATGTTTTGTAAGCTGTATGCAGAATAACTGTTACTCGTGAAATAGTTTTGTCAAACACCATTTGGGCATCTAATTTTCCTGTGAAACAAGAAAAAACAATGCCAAGTAATAGGTGTTTTCACGGTACTAATCATAGAAAAAGTATATAAGTACTAATCCCGAACTAGTTCAGACATTCTAGGCATCCGCATTTTAATATTTGTCATGCGCACTTTACATTTTTAACCCCAAATTTTTAAAAGGGCATGCCCTCAGACCTGAGGGCATGCCTATGATGTCCGGAATTATTTCGTGAATAGCTCCGCGAATATAGCTAATATTTTTTAACAAAATGCATTCGTGCAGGTACAAAAATCCTCGTCTTCGACTCGGATTTTTGTTGCCACCAGCACTCATACTTCTTGTTAAAATATTACTTAGCAACCAATTGGTTGCTATGCTAAAAATAATTGTCACTGTTGACGTTTTTAATTTAAAAATTAAAATGTTAAAAAATATGCGTTTTGGTCAAAAAAATCAAACTGAAATTGAATCAGCAGTTAAAAATATTCGTGAAATAGTCTTGCCGAATACCACTCGTGATAAAATTTTCCCTGAAAAAATTTTTGATGTTTATTTACTCAAGATTTTTCCTTGGAAATTTCTAAGAAAAAAACATAAAAATCAAAAATTTTATCGGTAAAATTTTACAACTAGTGGAATTATAGGTAGACAAAAAAAATAATAACATAACATCATAGTTTCTTCGGTTCCTTGTGCGGAATACCTACCCTATTGAAAATGCCATATAGAACCATATAAAAAACACGTATCTGGATTCTATATGGTTTCTATCTGGTTCAATATAGGTATTTGAAACAGGCATTTCACTATAGAACCAGATAGAATATTATATTATAGAACCAGATAAAAACACTATAGAACCAGATAGGGAAACCTATCTGGAAATACATATAGAACAGAAACCAGATAAATCCATATACATCCATATACATGTCTTTATAAAGACATGTATATGGTTGTATATGGATTTATCTGGTTTCTGTTCTATATGTATTTCCAGATAGGTTTCCCTATAAGTATGGTTGAATATGAAAATTTTTAAAATGGAAATCCATATTCAACCATATAGAATCCGTAATGTAAACTAGGACTTTCCATATAGGACCTATAAAACCATATAGAACCAGATACGTTTCCTTATCGGATTCAATATGGGTTCTATATGGCATTTTCAATAGGGTATACCCATCTCTAATATTATGTGATCCAACTTTATAATATTTAAATATGTGGGTTGGCGGCTCTGTAAACTGCTAACTTCGCTCCAAAAAGAAACCGTTTAATTGACCATATGCAAGGAATGCGGTCGATGTTGCCAATGGTAAAAAAATAAAATTTCCTATTGGGAACATTCAATTATATTACGTTGGCTAGACTGAAATTTTGAATTTCCCGCACAAACTGACATAGATTCTAGTAGTTCCCAGAGATAAAGAAGGTAGTTCCAATGTTGTATAATAAATTAAGGTGCGAATTTCAAATGTGGGAATTATTATTATTAAAAAAAAAGATGGAAATTAATTTAGTTTGTGCGGGAAATTAAAATTTTCAATGTAGCCAACGTAATATAATTGAATGTTCCCAATAGGAACTTTTATTTTTTTACCATTGGCAACATCGACCGCATTCCTTGCATATGGTCAATTGTCAATTTGAATTGACCATATGCAAGGAATGCGGTCGATGTTGCCAATGGTAAAAAAATAAAATTCCCAATTGGGTACATTCAATTATATTACGTTGGCTACATTGAAAATTTGAATTTCCCGCACAAACTAAATTAATTTCCATCTTTTTTTTTAATAATAATAAATAATAATAATTCCCACATTTGAAATTTGCACCTTAATTTATTATACAACATTGGAACTACCTTCTTTATCTCTGGGAACTACTAGAATGTATGTCAGATTGTGCGGGAAATTCAAAATTTCAGTGTAGCCAACATATTATAATTGAATGTACCCAATTGGGAATTTTATTTTTTTACCATTGGCAACATCGACCGCATTCCTTGCATATGGTCAATTTAAATGTCCAAAAGTTCGAGTTTTAATTTGTTTATTGCTTGTGTAATTTTTATACGTTATTTATTTATTTTAACTGGGCAATATGGAAGTCGACCCCTCGATGACAATGTCTTTCATACAAGCCAGAGATCCGAGTATTTTATCATGGAATATTCATGGGTTAAATAAGGTTAAAGCAAATTTATTTAAGGAATCTTTATTGTCCGAGCCTGAGCTAGAAGTAAAGGTAAAAAGTTTGTCTGTTGTGGTTTTGACGTTTTATGGTAGTTTTTACCTACATATTTAATATTATTTCTGTACACCATTGTGACTTTTAAAAATAGTTTAATCGAAGATATGAAAAAATCTCAACAAAGAACACAGTGGGTGTTCTCTCTTAAATAATTTGTAAGTTTTATTAGGAAAACTTGATTGCTAAGAACTAAACCTATTATAGGAGGATAACAACCTTAGAATTTTCCTGAGAGTCAAAGCAAATGTGGATTATAAAAATTTGTATAGTATTTCCGAAAAAACGTTAACTTGCACAATACCACAAGGCTCAAATGTGTTAAGAAATATCAAAGAAGGAGACAAAGTAACAAAAAAATTCGAATTCAGTGAAATATTTGGGCCTAATGCAACACAAAATGAAGTTTTCGATAATATTATCAAACCCAAGCTTTTAGGATTCATTAATGGAAAAAATAGTACTTTGATGACTTATGGAGCCTCAGGAGCAGGTAATATAAAAATGTTTTTAATAATTGTATTTTTAAGTTCCCATTTATTTTTTAACTTTTGTTTGTTTATACAGGATGTTGAAATGCCTTTAATAATTTAAGTGTTTATGCTTATTTTAGTCATTAACCAAACAAATTATTAATTTTGCAAAAAAATTGCTTTTTGTATGACAGTTTAATACATGCATGATTTAAGTTATAGTATTCTTACACCCTATATTTTAAGGGAAAACATTTACAATTATTGGGACAGCCTCAAACCCTGGTTTAGTTCCTCGTACTTTGGAATACTTGTTCCGCACTATTCCGCAGTTAAGCCAAATTATCAAAGTGAAACCCAATCCAAATGGGTCCATTGCAATACTAAATGATATTGAAATTAGGGAAGAAAAACATAAAAGAACCAACATTTTAAATGCTTCACACCACATGATTGACAAACAAGCCCATTTAAAAACCTATAGAGAAATGCAGCAACGATTGAGCACTGAATCAGCAGCATTATTAGAAGGCATAGATGGTATTTCTGTTGGGGTGTGGGTGTGTTTTGCAGAGATTTACAATGAGCAAATCTATGATTTGCTTGTGCCACCTCCACCAAGGGGTAAGCAAAGAACCAAGTTGAAATTGGGGAATGCTAATGGCACTGCCTACATTAAAAGTTTAACTAGTATTTTTGTGAATTCTGGCATGGAAGCATATCAGATTTTGCAATATGGCCTTCACAATTTAAATTATGCTGCAACTGCTTTGAATTCCAACTCAAGCAGGTAGGAAAATGCTATTTTATAATATATAAATTAAAAAACTTTAAAAAATAAATTATATTCAGAAATCACCTCATTTTTGTGTATTCTATTTTATTTTAGATCCCATTCTATTTTCACTATAAAACTGGCACAGTTGAATAGAGAAAACCAAACCCAGGTTTCTTATTTTAATTTTTGCGATCTGGCTGGTTCAGAGAGACTCAAAAAATCCCACAATGTCGGAGAACGTTTAAAAGAATCCAACAACATAAACAGTTCACTTATGGTGCTTGGAAAATGCATAGATAATATAAGAAATTTGCAAAAAGGTTCAAAATCTATGGTGCCATATAGAGAGTCAAAGTTGACTCAAATATTTCAAAGAGCACTGAGTGGAAAGGAGGATATATGCATGATAGGTAAGAATTCTTTAGTAGTAAAGTTTTTTATATTTGTAATTTGACAAATCGAATTATGTTGGTACTGTATATTAATATATTTTGGTATTTTCAATATTTAAAATTGGTACTCCTGTTCAATGCCTTAATTTTACTTTGAATTGAAGGGGTCAGAAGTAGTGTTGCCGGACAAATTTTCAATACCCACACCAACCTTACCAATTACCTGCTTTTACCCACCCCTCAAAATGTTAATAAACTAAGATTATTTTTTTTATTTAAACTTGATTTAAATTAATGAAAAAAAAACGTGAAAATAAACAACAAATACATACCTACAAATTAACGACAGTTTTGTTTTTGTTTACGATTTTTTCAAATTTTTTTCAATTTGTAACATTTCATTACTGGGTACATTTAGTCTATGACTATGCTAAGTTTGTTTCTGATATCACTTTTAATATTATTTAACGTAATAAAAATCCTCTTCACAGACACATTGGAAAATGGCAAAACTAATAAAAAATTAATGACAATTTCTAAATTGACAAAAATAGGCAACCCAGCGGCATGCGAAACTCCAAGACGTGTTTTCAGTATGCCTCTGCTGGTTTTGTGGCGTCCATTCCCATTTCTTTAAAATCCATCATAGCATGTTGACGCCATTCATTGTCTAGATTTTGACAACCCAAATACTTTTTTAAAATTGGAAAACTATTGATAACTTTTAAAAGAGGCTTTGTTTTGAGCTAAAATACTCATCTTCTTCCAGAAGATTTAGGTACAAAAATCAACATCTTACCCAAAATTTTCCCATTTACGACATATTTTTCGTTAAGTGAATCACATACTTCCACTTCCTACTGTGGAAGTATGTAAGGTGAATTTGAAAACGCGACATCTGTGGTTTTAAACAATAGTATAAAACATTTTATAACCAGGTGAATCGCTTAATTTAAATTTAAAATGAAAAAAATATATATCTGAAATCCCCGATTCCCGATTTTTACCCGCATCAACATTTTACCCGGCCACAGGTCCTAATTTCCCGCTTTTCGGGAATTCCCCGCCCAACGGCAACACTGGTCAGAAGCAAAAGGGTACAATTGCATTTTAGCATGAAAATAGGCAGAATTGGGTAGTTTATTTTCTCATAACGTAAAAATTGTACGAGTTCTGCATGTTGATTATTGCAAACAACAATATTGAAACAAGTATCCAGATTTTTGTATGTGGAAAAACTTCTAGCCTTTTGCTTCTTTCCCATTCAATCATAATTAACAATGCCAAAGATAACAGAAAATTGTAAATAAAAACAAAACAGTATTTTGATGAAATAATTAATTTGTGTTGCATAAAATCCACAAAATAATTTGCTTTTACTCAATGTAGCCAATTATAAATTTAGGGTCCCTAGAATTTGCTAACTAAACCCCCAATTTTTTACGTCAAGTTCCGAATAAAAAAGAACTATATTTTTTCAAATTTTAACAAATTTCTGAGATATAACTCAAAGTCGAAATATCACACTAAAATTTCGTGTTATATCTCGGAATTTTAAAATTTCGTGAATATCTCGGAATTTTAAAATTCCGTGTTCTATTATGGAATTTTAAAATTCCGTGTTATATCGGATTTTTTAAAATTTTCGAACTGTCGCTTAATAGACGACTTCACCCTTTACCAGGGGTCAGTGTTGCCACTCGTACATTTTATTTCCTACTAGGTGGTTCCGTCATTTCGTACTACATAGATTATACTAAATGTTACATTGGTGAAATTGGCCACATATGGCAGCACCTATAGTTCATATATTTGGTTTTGTGTTAGTAATATTCGAATGACTGCACTTCTAATTGAATAAATAACACATTTAAAAAAACGTATCTTAAAAATCAACTATTTGACAAACAACTGAAGGCATTTATGTTGGCAGTCCTGCTCAAGAACTTCTAAAAAACTGCAAGTAGCAGTCTTCAATGCTGGCTGTGAAAAAAACCTAAATATAACACGGAATTTTAAAATTCCGAGGTACAACCCGGAATTTAAAATTCCGAGATATAACACGAAATTTTGGTGTAATATTTCAACTTACAGCTGGAAATTTTAAAATTTCGGGTTATATCAAAGAAATTTGTTAAAATTTGTAAAAAATACAGATTTGAATTTTGTATGGCCCTTCGACGCCTTCGTAAATTGACTTGGTATTAGAGCAATGCGTTTTAAAAATGCATAACGGACTTCCCCTTGTGAAAATTTTTCTCTGAAAAACTGGAGAAAGTTTTAAAGAGTAAAAATAAAGATTTGAAAGTCTTAATTTCGGTTTAAAACACATAATAAGACCTAATTTCTATTTAAAACTCGGAATGAGACTTATTAAGTCGGAAATAATCAAAATAAGACTTAGCAAGTCAGTATAATAGCAAGATTTAAGTCTTTGAAGAATTGGAAGAGTAACTCTATAACTGTTATTCTAACTTAGAGATTCAAAATTTCCGGAAAAATTGAGTGTCGGAAAAAAACCCTGTTTTTTTCCTGGAAAAATTGGAAAAAAACGGAAATTTTGGGAAAAATTGATATTTTCTTAAAAACTAAAAAAAATGTTTAAAAATATTTTAAATATTTTTTATAATATTTATAAATTATTTTGATTAAAAAATTCCCGGGAGAGGCACCTGTAGGGTTTTTAACGATGAAAAAAGCCTAGTTGCCTAGTTGACGACGGCCGTAATTCACATTAAAATCATTGTTGGTAACTATTCAAAATACACTATCCCAGGAGTTAGTAGCATATTCAATGATTTTAACTTCACAATGGCAACCCTGCCCGATCAGCTGATTAGGAACCGACGCGTCGGACCGATCGTCGTTCGTTTACAGCGTTACAGCATAAAAACATTTATCTTGTATTAAATATATTTTTTTATTGTACCCACAATACACAATGGTATGCTTTTTGCTCAAAGCACAGACTTCTTTACTACTGCAAAAATATATTTATTTAATTTCCACTCATTAATACATAAATTATATCAAATCAAAATACTTTTTAGATTTTAATTTTTTTTTTAATATTTTTTCAATTTTTCCGTTTTTCAATTTTTCCAAGGCTCGGGAAAAAAACGGAAAAAAACACTGTTTTTTCCAATTTTTCCTGTTTTTTTCCGATCCTTTAAATCTCTATTCTAACTTAAAATTATTCCACAGATTTGTTGTATTTGGTTATTGTAAAAGAAAACACGAATAAAAGTATTTATAAACATTGTTTCTGTGTTGTTATAAAGCTTATAACAACCCAGTGGCGGCTCGTCAGGGTAGGCCTCTGAGGCCGCGCCTCACCCTTAAAATGAAGGAACGAACGACTTTTTGTATTTAGATTTTTGCCTAATACAAGTGTATTTTTACAACAGTTCTACCCAATAAAAAGTAAAAAACCAATCAATAATACTAAGCGTAAATAAAAATCCAGGCGCAAAGCGCGTCAAGGTAACGTGCATCGTTGAAAGTCGCTAGACAGAGCCGAAATTTTCACAGCCTCGGAAGCTCCCATTTACCTCTAGAAAGCGAAAATGACTCACCAACTAAAGTTCGCGAATAAACAACGTAAATTCAGTCGTAGATGAGGCGACATAAAGTTAGCTTGGTTTGTTCTGATTTCTGGTTTTATGACATTATAATCGCGTGTCCGTCTATGGTGGGGAGGCCAGTGTCCTCTAAGCGTTCGTAGAGCACGTTTTGTTTCGTTTTGTTTTGATTTAAATTAAATTATTTAAAACTTTTGGCTGATCTTTTATAGTTTTTGTCTCGATTAGTAAAATTTCTTATTTAATTATTGTGGGGAACACACTAAGGTAGATTTAACAGTTTTTATTAAGCAAATTTTATATTTTGAAATAATAGATTGCATAATTCTTTAATTAGAGACGCGGTTTAAAAATTTAGAATTACTTTTAAGTCTCACTGCAGACCCACAATTTTACGACCAAATAATAGATAAATTTGCAAACTTAGACGCATAGATTTAATTTACAAAAAGTAGCTAATAGTATTTTATATTTTTTAATATTTAGGTAGGGGTCGACTTTTTAGTTTTATTTTTATTTTTTGATTAATTTATTTATTTTTAACGGTTTTAAGAATATATTTTTAAGTTTTAAGATTAAAAGTAGTCTTTGATGTGATATTTTGTTTGTTTTGTTTTTTAGACTTTATTTTTTATTTATAATGGTTTAGTAGGGCTATCGGCGATGACCTCCATTTTAAAAAAGGTCAACGCGTCGCAGAATAATACCTCCCGGGTGACGTGGAAATTTATTTGTATTTAGACAAAATTAACCTTATGTAGCCTCACCCTCCTGTACACCCACAAGCCGCCACTGTAACAACCTAAGCCAAACCTCTGTCTTAGATAACAACACTAAAGCAATGTTTACAATAAGCCAAGTATATTTCAATTCATCACAATAAAACATTTTTTTTATAAATTCTTTTCTCTGTGCTTTATTTTACAATAACCAAATACAACATCTCTGAATAATTCCGAGTATTTATTTTTATCGCTATAGGTTCCACTTCTCTGCTGAAAGTTAGAATAACAGTTATAGAGTTACTCTTTCCAAAGACTCTCAAATCTTGCTATTAGCGTTGAGTGAAGATCATCAATCAATGCTATTAGTCTGACTTGCTAAGTGTTATTCTGAGAATTTTCAACTTAATAAGTATTATTCTGAAAAGAAAGTAAGACTTTTAACTCTTATTCTTGTTAAAAAAATGTCTGTAACATGCCATGGTGACAACAGATATTCAGACACCATATGAAAGACAGACATTTTTTTAACAAGAATAAGAGTTAAAAGTCTTACTTTCTTTTCAGAATAATACTTATTAAGTTGAAAATTCTCAGAATAACACTTATCAAGTCAGACTAATAGCATTGATTGATGATCTTCACTCAACGCTAATAGTTGGTTTGGAATTATTCCTACACTATTAAAAACTGAATGCTGTATGCACGAAAAATGAAAATACGGTATGTTATGTTATGTTTTATTGGAATTTCTTGATGTTTTTCTGCTTGTTGTTTTCAATACCAAAAACTTTTTGAACATCCCATTTTTTTTGCACAGTTAACGTAAATCCATGCAGAGAATTGTTTGACGAAACGCAGCACGTTTTAAACTTCTCCGCCATTGCCAAAAACATTATTATAGAAGAGGAACCGGTCAAACCACTGCCTAAGAAAACGGGTCGTTTTTCGCAATATATGAACGGCCGTTCAACCTCAATTAAACCAATCATAGAAGAGGACAAAGGAATGGAGCAAGATTACAAAAAGGGTGAGCCCTAATAGTATTGTTTTAAATGTTAATGTTTGTTAATCAATAAGTGAGGACCCTATTGTTAATGACCGATAGAATCCAATAAAAAATAAGTAATTGGTTTAAATTGGTTTGAAATGTGTTTTGGTGCTATGAATCACCAATTAATTCCAGTTGAATTCCTATTGGTAAGTTCCAATAAAGTCAGCGCCTTAAATTGGAATATACCATGCCATGCTTGTCTCTATTGGCTAAATCCAATAGAAATGCACCTGAAATGAATTGGTAATTCATAACGCCAAACCCATTCAAACCAATTTGAACCAATTTATTTTTTTAAATTTGGATTAAAAACACCAGTTGATTTTTCATTCAAAAATAATTAAGATCCCAGAAGAATAACCGGGTAAAAACCAGTATTCATTTTTCACAGAAGAGGCAAAAAAACTATTATAACTGAGTAACTTTATTTCTTTATTATTTTTTTTGTGTTAGTGAGATATGTATTGATACATCCCAGTAAACATTTGTGATTGCGTATTGAAATCACTCCTAAATCCCGCCGTGACATCGTGATATCACTGGCGCATGCATATGTTTCCTCAATATACAATCAATGGGATATCACCTGAAATGAATTGGTAATTCATAGCGCCAAACCCATTCAAACCAATTTGAACCAATTTATTTTTTTAAATTTGGATTAAAAACACCAGTTGATTTTTCATTCAAAAATAATTAAGATCCCAGAAGAATAACCGGGTAAAAACCAGAATTCATTTTTCACAAAAGAGGCAAAAAAACTATTATAACTGAGTAACTTTATTTCTTTATTATTTTTTTTGTGTTAGTGAGATATGTATTGATACATACCAGTAAACATTTGTGATTGCGTATTGAAATCACTCCTAAATCCCGCCGTGACATCGTGATATCACTGGCGCATGCATATGTTTCCTCAATATACAATCAATGGGATATCACCTGAAATGAATTGGTAATTCATAGCGCCAAACCCATTCAAACCAATTTGAACCAATTTATTTTTTTAAATTTGGATTAAAAACACCAGTTGATTTTTCATTCAAAAATAATTAAGATCCCAGAAGAATAACCGGGTAAAAACCAGAATTCATTTTTCACAAAAGAGGCAAAAAAACTATTATAACTGAGTAACTTTATTTCTTTATTATTTTTTTTGTGTTAGTGAGATATGTATTGATACATACCAGTAAACATTTGTGATTGCGTATTGAAATCACTCCTAAATCCCGTCGTGACATCGTGATATCACTGGCGCATTAATATGTTTCCACAATATACAATCAATGGGATATAAAGTCGTGACATTCAATCGCAATACGCACTCAATGGGATATCACTCCGTGACATAGCTAGTGCGCATGCGCGAGCGAAAGTGCAGGGGAATATTTAAAATATGTTGGAGCTGTGATAAACGAAAAAAGCGTCGTCGCTATCGTTAATAGCAATGCAACGTATTTTAAAACACGTTGCATCGCTAGTAACAATAGCGACGACCCTCTTATCGTATATCAATGCTTCAATATACTTCCGGCCTTGGGTGAAATAATATAATATGAACAGTCAACGTTTATTTAAATATAATTATAATAAGACAAGTTTTGCACATTACCTTTATACAGGGTGCATCAAGTATCCTATAAGTATAATACCTACATGTATACAGGGTGTCGCAGATTTTAATTGGGAAAATTTAGTGATCTATAGAAATCAAAAATATTAGAAGAAAATAATGTATGTTTTAAAGCTTCGTTTTCGAGAGACAGGGTGGTAAAGTTATTTAAAAAAATATTTATTTTTTGGGCGAATTTGATAAAAACCATTTTGGTTTTTAGTAGTGGGCAAATTTGCCCTTAAGGGCTTAATTTAATGTAAATTAAATTAAATCCAGAGGCGGCGCTGGAACATCCCAAATAGATATTTAAAAATAAAATTTATGCTACTGCTTTTTTGTAAGTTTATTATTATTTATAGATTAAAAATAAAACGGAAACGAATTTAATTTTTTTCTTCAAAATTAAGCTTTAAAGCAAACAAGTTCATATAAACTTTTCTTCTTATTTTTGCGAGTTCTGTTTACTATTAAATTAAAATGTATAGAAATTATACTTTTATGCTGCTTTTATGGGTATTTTTTTTTTATTAAGCAGCTTAAACTACTTGTTATGACGATAGTCACTTGAAATAATTCTGGTATCGTCATCCTAATCGTATGACGTCGTCAATTTATTTTAATTATTGAACTCGAGTTTATTAACAATATTATATATAAAATGCTATTATTTCATTAAATTCTGAGAAACAAAGATCAAAAAAAATTTTTTAATCATGACGACTCGTCATTACGATATCGTTAACGATAAAAGTGACGTGTCGTAAAGTGTCGGATCGTCATTTTTTTTGTTATGCGTATCGTCATTATTGGTAGGGTTAAAATGAAATTTATAAATTGAAAAAAAGGCAGCTGTTCTCAAAACTTTTGAAAAAAACTAAGAGCCTTAAGGCTATGAAGATTTTTGGTTTAAAATTTTAAACCAAAAATCTTTATAGCTTTGTTATTCCTGGGAATTAAAAAAAAGTAAGTTTGTCTTGTTAACATACACATTTATCTACATTTTCACCCAATTTATTCGTTACTTTGAGTTACCATCACCATCTTTTGCTTTTAAAATGGCCATGGCGATGGTGCACCATAAACTTATATAGTTTAATAAATCGATTTTTTTACTATCGAACTATGTAAAATTGTAATATGGCAGCCATAGCAAAACCAAAGATGGTGGTGATAACTCAAAATCAAGTAGACAAAAAAATTTATAAATTGTTAATGTAGAAATGAATACATGCGAAACTTACTTTTTTTTAATTCTCAGGAATAACAAAGTTATAACAAATTTTGGTTCTTAATAGATTTTTTCAATTATGTGAGAACCGCGGATTTATTTTCCAATTTTCAAATTCCATTTTAATAGACTCAATAAATCCAGGTTTTCTCCCAGTTATTTGTTTTTGGACAAAGTATGATATTTCTTATAGTATGATTCTTATTGACATTTAAAAACCTACAAAAATATCTTTTCACTCTTGACAATATTGATAACAGTTTTACACCTTAAATTTATTCCAGAGCAAATGGAGTATACAATATATTGTTCACCATGTACCAGTTACCTTACTATAGCAAGATACATACATATATACGTACTTGGCTAAAATCGCTTGTAAAATCGCAAACAAATATAAAATGAAGTTATATATATAGATATATTTTTGCGGAAATAATTTCTTAAAACCATCAAAGAAAAATATTAAATATTAAAGAAAAAAGTCTTTGTCTAACAATAATAACATAATACGTATTTAACGTATTATGAACAAATTAATGTAATGTAATTTAAATGAAAAGTTTCGTCCCTGTGGGGTCACGTCGTGACATAAAAAGATCAAACGCGTGTCACTGCTTGACATAAAACGACAAACTTAATCACTGTGCCAGCAATTGGATATCAAGTTGTGACATGTCACGTCGTGAGTTTTTCGTGATATCACAAATGTTTACTGGGATATAACTTACTAACACAAAAAAAGTAATAAAAAATAACTCGGTTATAATAATTTTTCTGTCTTTCTTGCAAAGGATGTTTGTAGGCATGGTCGAAATCAATATTATTCATGTAAAACTTTTTTGTTTTGTCTGCTGTAACCACCATTCTCACGCCATCGTCCCTAAACCTTACAAATATAAACATTTTTTTTAAGGTATAAGTACACACCACTATAAGTACACAACTACCACTAAGCACAGAAACCCATAGATTATAAAAGAAACCGACTAATAAAAAAATGACATTGAATAGCGTCCAAAGACTTGTTTCTTTATGTTGGCGTCTCAACCATTCGACTGCGTACGTTGGTTTTGCGCAGCTACACGAGAGCACTCTTGCTATATTTTAAAGTATTGGGAAAAATCAATTAGCAGATTCCTTTTTAGAATCTCACACTGGGAATGCCCAATTGAATTCAATTGGAAATTACCTATGGGTAGCTTTAACCAATCGAAACCACTAAAAAACAGTAGAATCCTAATTGGACTTTTCCATATTTTAAAGTATTTGGAATAACCAATTAGCAGATTCCTTTCTAGAATCTCACACTGGGAATGCCCAATTGAATTCAATTGGAAATTACCTTTTGGTAGCTTTAACCAATCGAATCCACTAAAAAACAGTAGAATCCTAATCGGACTTTTCCATCATCCATTTTCAATTAAACCCAGTAAGTCCAATTCAGACCTATTGATACCAACCAATACTTTAATTGGTTTCTATAGGGAATTAATCGGTCATTTACAACAGGGGAATTTGTAAAAAAAGATTTATTATTTATGTAGATCTATAAAAAACATTTTTTTAAATATAACTTTTAAGATTATGAAAACGAATACGAGACCGTGGAGAAATTGAAAAACTACATTTCGGAAATGCAGCTGGATTTTGAAACTAAATGGCAGGAACGGGAGGAAATGGAGAGATTGGATAGGTTAAAGATCACGGAGACGTACGATGGAGTTATAGCGAAAATTTATGCAATGCACAAGGGGATCCAGGAGCGCGCTGAGGCGAATCATAAGGAGGAGTTAGAAAAAGAGGTGTGATAAAATAAATGTGAAAAGTTTTAGAGAAAAAAACATTTTCGGGTTTGAAAAGTTTTTTTGTCTCTTACCAGAGACATCTTCAGGGATTAAACTAAAACTAAAAGTTATCAAACAGGAATTACTTAATTAACTTTTTACCATTTTTCAGAGGGCGAAATGGCGGGAACATTACCGACATAAACGTGTCAAATATGACGATGACAATGACGACAGCGACGTTATAGATCTAGTGAGCGATAATGAGGACGATAACGATGATGGCGACGGACGCAAGGAAGTGAAAGAGAACGTAATTATCAGCGAGTTAAAAATGGAACGGGAAAAATTGGCACTGGAGCTAAAACAAAAGCATGAACGCTTGCTTGGTCTGGAAAAAGAAAACATACTGCTAAACAACAAAATTGAACAGCTGAATTTGACTCTGAAAGATGCCGAAAAAGAGTACAAGGCTTTGGAGCAAGGGTGCAGGGCGGAAAAGATGGAGCTAAAAAGCGCTATTTACGAGTTGGAGGAGAAGGTGCACGATCAGGAGGCTCTGATAAGTTCGCTAAAGCAGGATATGCAGAGAACCATGGAGATCGAGGAACAGGAAGAAAGCAATGGTAATTTTTTAGTTATTAAACAAATTAAAGTTAAGAAGTTTTTCGGTGGAAAATTATTTCGTCATGTAACATATAATGAAAAAATGCGTTTTATCTACTTTTGGGTCTGATTTTTTTTAAAACCTAACACAATTCTGTGCTCAAATTCAGATTCAGCACAATGTCTTGTTTCTGTTACAGAAGGTTGGTTAAATTTTGTCGGCCTGTTATTTACAAATATATATACCCAAGCAGCATTTTTGGTTCCAAAAACCATTAACAAAGTGGTGATAACTTTAAATTAGTTAAGTATACTAAATAGCTACTTTAATTTTTACTTAAATGTAATTCTAACTTTTAAATAGCAATATTTTGTAAAAGAAACTTCATTCTTTCCTTAAATGGTTACTATAAAGTAATAAACATTTAAGTAAAACTTGGTTGGCCCCAAGAAGACTTTGCAACTTTAAAAAAGGTGTTATAACTTATAAGTAAAAAAAACTTTCAAGTAAATTTAATTTGTAGCAGTTACTTTCAGTCCCTTTGCAAGTTAAAATCTCGAAACTGAAACATGAGTTAAAAACTACAAAGTTAATAACTTAAAAGTTATTATTTTAGTATTTGGAACGTTTATGGTACTAACCAAAACTACCGTAAAGTAAATTAAGGTGGAAAAAACCTTAAAGTAGCGAAAACTACTTCAAAGGAAAATGCTTCTTATCGGCCATTTTTTACTGTACAGTACCACGTGGTAATGTAAATAATAAATTATTTTAATTGTTTGTAAATGGTTGTTTACTTTTTAATAAATAGTTATTTTGTTGGTAATAGACGGTATTAATAATTAAATAAAAAATTAATAATAAATATTAAGATTTTTTTATTTATAAACATTATTAAATAAATAATTTGTTTATACTTAAATATTGATGAAGCGCATTTATTTTACAAAAACTAAATTCATAAGTTCAACAGTAAAATGTAAAGGGTTTATAAATTAACCTGCCTAATTAAACATTATATTGTTATTTTGGAAGTTATAAACTACCAGTACATATTTAATAAACGACGACATTGAAAAGCCAAGTCCGCAGTGGTTCCATTTAAAAAGGGAGGGATAGTATATATAGTCTAATATAAGTTTGACAAAGACAGTTAATAGGTACATAAGTAAAAGCAAATAAATAAAAGTAATTATAACGCTCTAGCAACGATATTGAAACCTTCTAGTAACGTAGCAGATACGTTCCAAATAGTAGCAGGGTTTATAGCTAGTGACATATTTGCTACCTTTTTGTAACTCAATAATTGTTCCCCACTTTAGTCGTAACTTAGTAATGAAAGAGTAATATAAAGAGACCGGCGACTCTAGCAAAACACTTTAAAGTTTCTTCAATAGACCCATATACATAACAAATTATGAGGCGCCGTTCGGGCCAATATAAAATTAAGTATTTATATATAAATTTTTATCTTTGATTGAAAATATTGTTGATATATAAAAGATTTTAATTGTTTGATTTAAGTTTACTTGTGATTGATATATTTTAAAGCTTTCGCAATATACCGTGTGTAATGAGGGCGCCACTTCAATGTTCGTAAACATTAATGGATAAAAAATTCCATCCTTGATTAAAAATATTCTAGATATATAATTGTAATTTTGAGATTTAAGTTCGCTTGTAAATGATTTATTTTAAAGTTTCCACAATATACTGTGTGCAGTGAGGGCACCACTTTGATGTTCGTAAACATTTTTGACATAATTGTCATTTAACATTAATAAATAAATGTTAAGTTTAATAAAAATAAATAACAGGCAATTGCCTGTTATTTATTTTTATTAAACTTAACATTTATTTATACTTTAAAATATTAAAATAGCTGTAAAATATTATTATATAATTAAAAACCCATAGATATAAGTAACATAATAATATTTTGAAGTTATTTTAATATTTTAAAGTATCAATAAATGTTAAGTTTAATAAAATAAATAACGGGAAATGTTAAATGACAATTATTTCAAAAATGTTTACGAACATAAAAAGTGACGTCCTCGCTGCACACGGTATATTGTGGAAGCTTTAAAATAAATCATTTGCAAGCCAACTTATATCACATAATTAAAATCTTTTATACCTATATCAGGAATATTTTCAATCAAAGATAAAAATGTTTACGACCATCGAAGTGGCGCCCTCACTGCACACGGGAGGCTTTAAAATAAATCAATCACAAGCGAACTTATTTCACACAATTAAAACCTTTTATATATCAAAAATATTTTCAATCAAAGATGAAAATTTATATATAAACACTTAATTTTATATTGGCCCAAACGGCGCCTCATAACAAATACTTAAATTGTTGCTTGGGTATATATATAATATATATATAATAATATAATATTAGCCGTCAAATAAAAAAACCGGTCGACTTTTCAGCTGCGTACAAATATGAAAATTGTTATACATACGTTTTTTGTTAACTGATTGTGATTTTAAAAAAAGAAAACAGTTGAACAACCTGTACATATTTCTATTTATTATTTTTAGCTACAGAAGATAGAGGAGACATACAAAATATGTTAATATCGTCATTAACCGAATTAGGTAATAATTATGATGTCTTTGAAGACGGTACAAAAAATGTTTTAAATAATACAGAAGATAAGGAAAATATAAGTGAACAAATAAATATGTAAAAAAAATGTTTTAATTTTTTAACCAATTGTGTAATATAATAATTATTTTTTTACAATTTGCATTATTTTATAAACCTGCTAAACAACATTTTAATCTAGCTTAAATTGTCATTTTTAAGACATTTAAGGTGTTACACATAATGTGGATTGAGAGATTACAAACCTTTCTCCAGATTTTTTTTGTATTTAGTATAAAAAAAAGTAATAAAAATAAAATCTATGTTAGGTACACTTAAACAACATGACAAGTTTTGTTGTATTATGCTTACAAAGCAATAATATGTAAATAAAACTACCCAACACAATGAACCAAGTTATAGCCAAAGGTGAAACGTTAGAAACTCGTCGTAAAGCACGCAAATACGTGCGGGTAAGTATAGCACGCGAGTAGAAAAAAAATATATAGCATACAATGAGAGAAAAATTTGTTATTTTCCTAGGTAATTTTAAACAAATAGAATTCATTGCCCTTGTGTACATTTTTCTCTGGAAAAGTTATATTAAGTATAAATAAGAGTTTTGAAAGTTTTACTTTCTCTAAAAAAATAAGAGCGCCGGAAAAACTCAGAATAAGTCTTAGTAAGTCAGACTAATAGCAAGATTTGGGAGTCTTCTGGAAGGGTTTATAGGACTTAATAAGACTTTTAGCAGAGAAATGGTAGGTACCTATAGCTATAAAAATAAATATCCGGAATTATTTAGAGAGGTTGTAGATATTTGGTTATTGCATAATATGTTGTTATTTCATAATTAACTATATAGTAATATATATTACATATGTAAGGTGTAATAAATATAAAAATTATATTTTTCACATGCGATGCGCTTGACTTGCTTTCATTGTCACTGTACGTTTTATTTTAATAGTTTCTTTTTATATACTATACCGGGTGTATCTGAGAAGGCGCACCCCTGTAACTTTTTATTTATAAAGATAGAGACATAAAATTTAGCATGGTTAATTAGGATATAAAATGCCACTTATAAGAGTACAAAATGAATTTTTTGAACTTCCGGTTTCGCCGGAAATGATACCAACTTTCTATTTTTAAATGGAATGCCCTATATATTTTTACATATATGGAATCTTGAGGAAATTCTGAGTCAGACAGCATCCTCAAATTGACCTTATCACGTTTCGTCATCATCATATAATCATAAAGATCAATATATATACTCTATAGAGTGCTTTGAACTATCTTATTTTCTTCTAATGGATTCACACAATGCCTGAAAAATGGAACTTGCCTTAGAAAGTTGTTATTCAGCTATTTCCAGCAGTCTAAACTTGTCAAAATTCGTTCTAGATCGATCTTTATGATGATGCATTTTCTGACGTCGAAAGGTTAATTTGAGGATGCTGTATGACTCAGATTTTTTTTAGGATTCCAAATATGTAAAAATATATAGGGCATTCCATTTAAAAATCGAAAGTTGGTATCATTTCCGGTGAAACCGGAAGTTCAAAAAATTCATTTTAAACTCTTATAAGTGGCATTTTATATCCTAATTAACAATGCTAAATTTCATGTGTCTAGGTACCTTTATAAATAAAAAAGATACAGGGATGCGCCTATTCTCAGATACACCCGGTATATATTAGGGTGGTCGTTTAAAATTAAATTTTTTGCGACGCCCCCTAAAATGCTTCGTTTTGATGAAAAAACACTAGGAATTTTTTTTTTAATTAAAAACCACACGTGCCTCTAGACGATCAAAGTTAATTATATAGTATAATCATGTCTTCTGAAAATATTAAATAATAATTTTTTTGAAATTTAAAAATTATTAATAATGAAATAACTTCACCTTGCACTCTTAAGAAATCTAGATTTTCTAGATAAATTACGTTTGTACTAATTTAGTTTTAAAATAAAAATATCAATTTGAATACATATCTTTCATTTTTTTATTCAATAGACTGGGAAAAATTTTGTATTTAAATTTTTGTATATTGTTATTTCGATTAACTATTGTTTTTTTATTGATTTGGGTTCTATAATTGTTTATATTTCGAATAAAATTATATTTTTCATAAAAAATTCCCAAAAAAACCTGATTATACCAAAAAATTAACTTAGATCCTCTTGAGGCACGTGTTGTTTTTAATTAAAAAAAAATCCTAGTGTTTTTTCATCAAAACGAAGCTTTTTAGGGGGCGTCGCAAAAATTTAATTTTTAACGACCACCCTAATATATGTATATGTATAATATATACGCAAATATTGATCCGACCATTGTTACAAACAATTGTTCTAAAAACAATAAAACGTGTACTTCTGACGCAATATCGATTTTCTCAGCTGACCAATTAGATCACGACTGACCGTAATGTGATCGCATCTTCCCGCGCTTACTAGATAGCTCTACGTTAGTAAGTACGGTATGCATTGGACATTTTATCAGTGAGTAATTTAGCTCACAACCCGGACAACAATCGGGATTTCCTGGTGAAGTCATGATGATATCACAACGTGATTTTTTTTATCACGCTGTGATATCCTGAGTGCATACCTACTCATGCTTCATCACAGTGATATAGTTAATTTTAAGCCAAGAAAATATTGAATGTTAAACTGTTGATTCAATTGTTAACATAATATTTCTTTCAATGTACAAATGTTTCGCAAAAATGAATATCCAAACACCGATGACATAAAAAATCATGTCGTGATTTTTTATGACCAAACACCGATGGCATAAAAAATCATGTCGTGATTTTTTATGCCATCGGTGTTTGGATATTTATTTTTGCGCCACATTCGTACATTGAGAGAAAAAGTATACCTACATATATGGATATTGAATCAACAGTTTTTGTGGTTTAATACATGCATTCAATATTTTTCTTTCAATGTACGAATGTGGTGCAAAAATAAATATCCAAACATGTCGGTGCACCGATGGCATAAAAAATCATGTTGTGATTTTTTATGCCCAAACATCGATGGCCTAAAAAATCATGTCGTGATTTTTTATGCCATCGGTGTTTGGATATTTATTTTTGCGCCACATTCGCAGAGAAAAGGTATACCCACATATATATTGAATCAACAGTTTTTGTGGTTAAATACATTCAATATTTTCTTGGATTTAAATTAACTATATATAGTTATTAATTATCAATTTTTCTCTTTGTGTACGAACGTGGCGCAAAAATGATTATCCAAACACCGTTGGCACGACATGATTTTTTGTGCCATCGGTCAATCGCAAACAGCGATGGCATAAAAAATCACGACATGATTTTCATTTCTCACGCAGTGACATCCGGATGATGTCCGTATGAATAAAATTTGTGAAAATCACGACGTGACGTTCGTATGATTTTCATTTATCACGCGGTGACTTCCGTATGATATCAGTATGAATAAAATTTGTGAAAATCACAACATGATGTTCGTATGAATATCACGAATGTTGTCCGGGAAATTAAGCTAATTTAGAATTTGATAAAAAGACTCAATACATGAAAGCGACACTTTTTGGCGCCATCGCCAAAACTATTTTTTGGCGCCTTGCGATAAGCAAAAAGCGGTTAATCGCATGCTATGCTCACTCCATCTCTAAATGTCGAACGAAAATTTTAGTTTAAGATATGGTCACATTGGCGCTGTTGTAGCAGAATTTAAATAACCCGCGTTTATGAACGAATGTGTATGACGCGGCAATGCCGCCATTATTGTTTTGTTCGGCATTTGTTGTAGACAAACAAGTTTTCCTTTGTGCGATTTTGATTTTTTCATTATGGTTTTTAAATGTGCTGTAGTTAATTGTAGAAATACAAGTAAGGAGGCAATATTACATTCGTTTCCTAAAGATCCTGAGGTAAGTTTAATGTTTACTTCTGTATTAACAAACAAACATATATTTTCGAGGTTGGTTTTTAATTTTAATTGCTCTAAATATGTAGTTAAGTCCACTAAACGTAGAACACATAGAAATAATACTAATACGTATTATTTCTATGGTAGAACAATTGAGATTTAAGTTAATTAATCCTTAACTTGTCACTACTACGTTTGGCTGATTCCACTCGATATTAATATTTTGCTACAAAAATCAAATAAGGTCATGTACAGCATTGTGTGACAATTAGAATCTTTATTGTGTTACTCTAGAAAAATTAAAAAATATATTTTATCTGTGTTACAGCTATTCAACATGTGGGTTGAAGCAATCCAAAGGAAAGACATCACTATGTCTAGAAGGGTAACATCAAAGGTGTGTGATCTTCATTTTTCAGATAAAATGAAATTTGCCACCAATCGAAATAGAACCAATATTAGGGCAAATGCATTTCCAGACCTACGATTGCCAGGTAATAATTACATGCACATACATACATATTCAGTTTAATGTAATATAATTTTAACTCTACAGTTCATTGCATGTTATTTTGCTTTTAAGCTGGAATTACACATACCAAGTGCTGGGCTGAGACTAGTAATTTATCCATATATGGAGAGACAGTAAATAGGTCTCGGCCTAGCATTCAGCAGGTGTAATCTGGCATTACAGGATGAAAAATTCATATTCTCTTACTGTACAGTGTGTTCTTTTAGGACAGGCTAAGCATGGGTATCTTTTTTGTTTGATGAGCTACAAGTTGCATATTTTTGACTTGATTTTATTTTCATTTAAAAAATGTTTGAAGGTAGCCTTTTATAATACCCACTTTATTGTGTTACCTTTTCAAGGGGAATTTAAATTTACCAAAATATTTTTGCTAGCTTTAAAAACTGCTGAAATATAGGTTCCTATGCTTATCCTTGAAAAAATTGATCCATTTTTAGGTATATACTTATGGATTAATGCTAAATAATCTTGTTTTAGGCATTACTTATGATGAACCAGTACTTAGTTCAAATGATACTTTTCTTGAAGAATTAGTTACTGAGGAATATAATGTGCAACCAGGAACCTCTTTAAGTATTGGTGGTGCCAAATTTGGAGAATCAGCAGTAGAAGAGATTGATGTTGAGCCAACTCCATCTACAAGCAATTTTCATTTTGTGGAAGGTAAATATGATTTTGTTTAATTGTAAATTTAAATAAAATTAATCCTTTAAATTTCAGATTTACATACATCAGGATCAATGATTCAAACTCCCAAATGCTTACCCCCTGGAAGCCTTTTTGAAAGTCCTAAGAAAGGATCTTCCATCAGTATATACTCTCCAAGGACACCTAAGCAACGCAGAGGTACTTAGCCAGTAGCTTAAGGGGTGTTTAAGTATTACATAAGCAAACTTTCTATGATTTTAGACCCCACCCCCCTGTATAATCGAAAACGATAAGATGTAATAATTTTTTTCAAAATTTGTATTAAATATTAAAATTTAAAAAACTACTTTTTAAAGAATTAATTAATAAATTTTTTATCTCAAGATTTATAATGTTAGCAAAAGTAAAATGTAATACTTGAATGCCTCCTTATTATAAGTAATTATTACTTTGTAATTGTTATTATTTATATTATATTTAAATAGCAAAAACTTTTTTGAATAAAAACTTAAAATTTTGTGCATCCATTATATAATGGTTATTGTTTAACATATGTTAAACAATAACTTTCCATTTAAAGTTTTGTCTGTAAATTTTACTGTTAAACAAGTATTACATTTAAGCATTTTTTAAAGTTTAGAAAGTGATATTTATATTTTAAATTAAGATTTTTGTTTTATTACAATTTTCAAAAACTAAAAAAAGCTAGTTAGTTTGATACAAGGTTGATCTTGTGACAAAACTGCAGTTTATGTATGCCTATTTTTTTGAGAACTGTCCTGTATAATGACATTAAATACAATTGCTAAATCATATTTATTGCTAATGTTCTATTGTTAAGTAATTAATAAATTATAGGTTTAGAATTAAATTTACAATTACAATTTAATAATTATTAAATTTGTCTTATTTTAAAATTGAACATCATCCTAATATACATGTTTCATTTAAGATTTAAGGAGGAGATTTAACCTCTTGCACCATGCCAATTCCACTAGAGCTGCTCAATTGACACCTAAGGCCAAAACGTTTTATGGAATAGCAAGAGGTATGGTGCGTCTGGCTCGAAGACTAGATGTTGAAAATTCTAACATAAAGAAACGTCTGCATGAAGTCCAAAAGTTTGCAGAGTCAGGTGACTTTATGACAACTAAAGTTAACCAGATAACACTTAACTTCATACATAGCCAGATTGCCATGCAGTCAAAAAGAAGTAGGGGTCGTCGTTACTCATTAGAGGATAAAATTTTTGCATTGTCTCTTTTAAAACAGAGTCCAAGAGGCTACCGTCTTTTGCAGAAGACATTTGCACTGCCTTCGAGGAAGGTTTTAATGGACCTTTTAAATAAGGTTCCATTTAGAACAGGCCTTAACAGGCATATCCTCGAAGCAATGAAGTTGTCTGTACAGAAGATGGATGAAGCTGACAGGGTTTGCAGCGTAATGTATGACGAGATGCATCTGGATGCCTCTCTTACTTACAATGAAAAAACAGACTCCATTGATGGTTTTGTTGATTGTGGAGGAGGGAGAATGGAAAAATTTGCAGACCATGCTATGGTTTTTATGGCCAGGGGCTTAAGAAGAAAATGGAAGCAGCCCATTTGCTACTATTTTTCCGAAAGTGGCATGAGTGCTCCTGATATAGTTAGGAATTTAAAAGAAGTCATTCGATCACTTCAAGAAATTGGTCTGAAAGTTGTTGCCACTGTGTGTGACCAACTGTCCATCAACTCAACCGCTATTAAAATGCTTAAGGATGAAACCAACAGAAAATACCATCTATCAGGAAAAGAAAATAGATGTTTGGGTTTTGAGGTTGATGGAAGTGAGGTTGTTCCTCTTTATGACTGCCCCCATTTGCTCAAGGGAATGAGGAACAACTTCAGCGAATATGATGTGACGTTTATGTGGAAAGAGGGAACACAAACTGCATCATGGGAGCATGTTCAAAGTCTCTATGAATTAGATGTGGGCGACTTTGACACACGAATGTTAAATAAATTAACAGATGCCCACATCTACAAAGAAAAAATGAAGAAGATGAAAGTGAAACATGCTGCACAAGTATTCTCCCATAGAGTATCTTCAACTATGAGGGGACTTGTAAAATATGGTAAGTTCTTTAATAAGTTATGTAAAAATAGCAAAATTAACCCTTATAGTAATAATAATAATTATTATTATAAATTATGTAAAAATAACAAATCAATCCTTATTTTAGCTTAAATTTAATATAAACTTTTTATTTATTGCAGGAAACGAATGCCTTCCACAAAATGCATTGGGGACTGCCAATTTTTTAATGTTCATGGACAAGCTTTTTGATAGTGTTAATGGATCACTTATGAAGCCAGAACATGGTAAAATGCTGAAATGTGCGGTGACAAAATCTTCCCCACATATTGCATTTTGGGATGAAGCCATTGGTGTCCTGAAAACCATCAAGTTCCAAAGAAAAGGAAAGGATTTTGTCCCCCCAACGGTTAAAAATTGGATAACAACACTTCATGGCTTTAAATACATCTGGAGAAATCTCAACAGGAACAAGTTTGAATTTCTTTGCACAAGAAATTTAAACCAAGATCCTGTTGAAAATTTCTTTGGATGTATAAGAAGCCATGGGGTTAGGAATATTAATCCTACGCCCAGCTCCTTCACTGCTTCCTTTAAAAGCCTTATTATTAGCAATTTTGTGTCTTCTCACTCTCCAGGTGCAAATTGCGAGGAGGATGAAAGTGAAGGAGCACTTAATTCTTTAAAGAATTTTCTATCCTGCAATATAACTGTAGAGCCTGCTGTTTCTTTAGAAACGCCACAAGTTACTAAAGAAACATTTCAATTTTCAAATATCAATGAAATAAATAAACAAACTCACTCTTATATTGCAGGATACATGGCAAGAAAATTGTTAAAAAAAATTGGGCAGTGTAGTTGTTGTAAAAAGGAACTAACAACAACAAGGTTGGAAAAGGAGCATGGCCTTATTGAGGCAAGATCTTATGGGCCTAAGGCACTTTTAAGACCAAATAGCAACTTTACACAAATATTTGGGATGTGCAACGAAGTTGTTCACCACTTTTTGCCCAAAATCGCATATAAGAACAATTTGCAAAAAAAATTAAGAGAAAGGATTAATGAATTTGTTCCTCTTAATTTTTCTTGCAAAAAGCATAATCTGAACTTTTGTTTTGTTCAAAAGTTTTTATCATTTTACTTATATGTTTGGACAAAAAATATAAATAAAATCCTAAAAGGGACAGACTCGAGGAATATCAATGATCCAATTAAAGTTATGGCTTTAGAACGATACAAAAAATTTAAAAAAAGGAAGGAGGCAATAACAAAACTAAAGAAAACTGTTAATTAGTTTTGTATTTTTTTGTATTTTGTATTATTATTTTCAATTTTTGAGTTTGTATTTCGTCAATTATATTAAATATAAAAAAATTCTGATTTAATTTCATGTCTTTTTTAATTACAATTTGAAAGTAATTTTTTTTATACTTTCTAATTTAATGTAACTGTATTAACTACAAACTCAAACATTAAAAATATTTATTCTATTTGATTAAAATATATTGTTTTTTTTTGTTAAACAAGAAATTTGCTAAGAGGCTGAAGAACCTTGTTTCTAAAATCTATTTTTTTCTAATAATAAAGATCATTTATTATTTATTGGTCAAAAAAGTCGTTTTTGTGAAAAATATTTTTAGTATTATGTAAATTTTCCTATGCAATTTAATTATAAGGTTAATTTAATTTATGAATTAAATCACTTAATTTTTCCCAACCTGCTTATTTCTTATATGTACATATAATATATTTTTATATATTATATAAATGGTTAAATTTTAAATATTATTTTTATATCCATAATAAAAATCATGTCAAATCAATAATAATCATAATTTCTTTTATTTATTACATTTTTTTAAACTGATTAATATGTATATATAAATGATTATATTTTTAATTTTCCCATGCAATTTAATTATATGGTTAATTTAATTTAGGAATTAAATCACTTAATTTTTCCCAACCTGCTTATTTGTTATATGTACACATAATATATTTTATATATATTATATAAATAATTATATTTTTAATATTATTTTTATATCCATAATAAAAATTATGTCAAATCGATAATAATCATAATTTCTTTTATTTATTACATTTTTTTAAACTGATTAATATGTATATATAAATAATTATATTTTTAATATGTTTGTTTTCTTTTAAGATGAGTGAATTTTGTTATAGTAATCTATAATAGTCTTATAAGAAAATATAGCATTCATTAAAAATATAATTGATTTATACATATATATTTATCAGTTTGAAAAATATTATTTCCTTTAATTTAAACTGTTAGTACAGCTTTTAGGCAATAGATGGCGCTGCATTGTATTTAAAATTCCCGGCGATATACTTGCAGCGCCACAGTGATTATGTCCGCAACTAAAAATAACTTAGTTCCGATTTTAACTAAAGAGTGGGCCATCTATACTTTATCTAATCTATGGTTAATCGCCACCCCTGGCAACCCTGTCTAGACCACATTGCGATATTCAGATATTCTCTGACTATAGTCTAGCGATATTCATTCACTAAAATACTTTGAACCACTCATAGATAAAGTATGAATATTTCTAGAACAACACTTAAACGTCAAATGAGAGAACATAACCTAAAAAACAAACAATTAAACGTCAAAATTTTACGGTCAAATATGTTATTAAAAGAATTAACAAATGTAACCCAAAAAATCTTTGGCAGTAAAATTACTAGTGGTGTAACGATATTCGTTACTTTACTGGCAATAGTATTAGCTTTTTCAAGGTTAGTAATTTTTTGGTAACTTCCTTTAAAAACTTTAATCCCAAACCTTAGTCCCATTGCAGCTGCCATTGTTTATTCGAATTTCATATTGGGAATAATATTATGTTGGGTTTTATTAAGATATAAATCAAAAACAAACGTTTATTTTCAAAGATTATTAAGCTTTTATGAAAGAAGATCGTCAAAGAAAGTTTTAAAACATTCCTGTAGTATCTGTGATGATTTATCTTGTCAAAGACATCAGCAAGTTAAAAGTGCTGTTCCCTGGAAAGACATTTACATACAAGAGGATTTAAATAATGCTGTGGAGCATGTATGACTTTATAGCATTCTAGTTTACGGTATTTTACAATAATTGTTTTAGTTTTACAATAGAATTATAGAAAACTTTATTACATCTTGGTATGGTCAACTCACGAGCAATGAAGACTTTATCTTACAGCTAAGATATTGTCTGAGATATGCTACATCATCAATAGTTGGCAGGTTTTTAGAAATTGATGCCACTGATATTATTCTAAAAAAATTAGTACCTTGTGCCATAAAACACATAGATGATTACATTTATATGCAACAAATTGTCAAGCTACAAAACGCTAGGTTTGATGAAGTGGCTGTGGAATATTTAGGGAAAAATTTGCATGCTGCCACTGTTAATAGAAAGTACGAGTTGGAATATTTACAACAGCTTGTCAAGGGGATTATGAATCATGTGTTGCCTGATTCATACTTAAAATGCAAGTAAGTATTAATTTATTTCAAAACTTCTAAGAATTACTGTTTTACTAGAATCTATACCGAGTGTATCTGAGAATAGGCGCACCCCTGTAACTTTTTTATTTATAAAGATAGACACATGAAATTTAGCATGGTTAATTAGGATATAAAATGCCACTTATAAGAGTACAAAATGAATTTTTTGAACTTCCGGTTTCGCCGGAAATGATATCAACTTTCGATTTTTAAATGGAATGCCCTATATATTTTTACATATTTAGAATCGTGAGAAAATTCGGAGTCGGACAGCATCCTCAAATTGACTTTTCAACGTTTCATTATCAGAAAATGCATCATCATAAAGATCAATCTAGAGTGCTTTGAACTATTTGAGAAAAACGAATTTTGACAAGTTTAGATTTAAAAAACGAAAGTTGGTATCACTTCCAGAAAAACCGGAAGTTCAAAAAATTGACCATGCAAAATTTCATGTGTCTATCTTTATAAATAAAAAAGCCACAGGGGTGCGCCTATTCTCAGATACCTACACCCGGTATGTACATATTCTTGTACTACAGTTAGGTTTGACTATTTGCATCTAGAAAAGGATAGTCACAGAAAGTCCAGGGTTGCCATATTTAATGTCTGAGCATTTTTATAATCAACAAAACTTGTTAATAAAATTTTATAAGTAGCTCAGTGCTAAGGTGACCAACTTTCTAAAATGAAAAACCAGGACACAACATGCCCCTCCTCGCCCCAAAAACTGCTAAAAACGTCAATAATAAAAAAAATATCCTGAAGGTATTCCCAAAAATTCATATTTTTAAATTAATTTTTAACCTGAGCTGACCACTTTTATTAAAAAAATTAGAACAAATTCTAAATTCTAAAAACATGGGAAAATCTTATAATTAAAAAAAATTTAAACGAGGTTTTTTCTTATTTTTTTACTATCCTAAACTTTCTTCCAAAACTTCAGATTTGTAAATTAATTTTTAACCTGAGCCCCGACCACTTATGGGCCATTCCACGCGTAACGGATAGGATAGTTGCCGTGTTTTTATTTACAAAATAATATTGTTCTATTATATTACCAATGTCAAATTTTTATAAATAGTTCTAAACTAAAGCTGTTTAACAAGGTTTTTATTTGGCAAAATTAGGTATCGTGGTTGACTCTTTAATTCCTTAACACGTTCACTGCCGACGTAATAGTCCGCCCATATTGCAGTGCCGATAGCTTTTTTTAGAAATTTTAGATAAAAATGGACTAAAGTTGTTTCTTTCGTTTCTTATTAAAAGGTTCTATGTGAAAAAATACTAAACCAAAAAACAAATAAACAATCGCGGTAGACGCGTTGGCGGCACCCAGCGACAAAAACCATGCTATATGCCACCGGACAGAACGCGGGTCCCGCGTGCTCGGCATATTGTAAAATACACAAGAACGCGGTAGCCGCGTTGCCGGCAGTTAAAGTGTTAAAAACTTACAATTTAAAGCGTAACGGGCGGGACTTTGCAATAGTCCCGCCCGTTACGCTTTAAATTATTAATTTTTAAGGAATTAAACAGTCAATCACGATACCTAATTTTGCCAAATAAAAACCTTGTTAAACAGCTTTAGTTCAGAACTATTTATAAAAATTTGACATTAGTAATATAATAGAACAATATTATTTTGTAAATAAAAACACGGCAACTGTCCTATCCGTTAAGCGTGGAATGGCCCTTATATTAAAAAAATTAAAATAAATCCTAAAAAAGTGGAAAAAACTCATAATTAAAAAAAAAAAAATTCAAAAAAGGTTTTTTTTACCTTTTTCTTAAGGTATAAAAAAATTAAAATAAATCCTAAAAAAGTAATAAAAGGGTTTTTTACTTTTTTCTTAAGGTACTCCCAAAAATTAGGATTTGTAAATTAATTTTAAACCACTTTAAAAAATAATTAGAACAAATCCTAAAAAAGTGGAAAAAACTCACTTTTTACTCCCTAAAAAAGTGTAAAAAGTCATAATTTTTTATAATTTTTTTTTTCAAACGAGGTTTTTTTTTACTTTTTTACACTTCCAAAGTTTTAGATTTTTAAATTAATTTTTAACCACTTTCCAAAAAATTCAGATTTTTGAATTAATTTTTAGCTTAAGCACGATCACTTAAAAAAAAAAGAACGAATACTAAAAAAGTGAAAAAAAGTCATAATTTTTTTTTCAAACGAGTTTTTTTTTACTGTTACTCTTCTAAATGTAGGTACTTCCAAATTTTAGATTTTTTAATTAATTTTTAACCTAAGCCCGACCACTTTTAAAAAAATTGCTAATAATGTCAATAATAATAAAAAATAGTATAAACCAGGCCCAAATCTGCAAAACCAGGACAAAATCAGTACACACACACAAACCAGGACGGTTGGTCACCTTACTCAGTGGGCGCGGTGAAGTACCGGGACTGATACCCGACGCCTTCACAACTTTTTTAATTTACATTTTTAAATAATACAATATGGACCTTAAAAATGTTCTACTTATTATAAAAAATACACATTTCATATAATTTCACTATAATGGTTTTTGTTAAGCAAATATAAACATTGAATTGAAAATTGGCAACAATGGATTTTCTGTGACCATATTTCCCTAGGCTTATGTATCAAAGGTCATTTAATAAATCGTCAATTTTGGGATTTAGCTAAATTTCTTTGGTCAAGACCTCTTGTCAGACCTAAGGAAAACCTAGAAACAACTTTACTTCCTTCATATATGATATTTATTTTGATTTTAGAAACTTTTCCATATTAATAAGAGAAATTTTGGCTGGCTGGGTGTTTCTACCACTAATGGATGTATTGGCAGATCCAAACATTCACAACTGGCTTGTTGTTTATGCAGCAAATTACAAATATAAAAAGGGAAAAAGGCATAAAAGCTCTGAAAAGCAATTGATAGAAATCATGAAAAATTTTGGCTTTCAATATAATAATAAAAATTCCTCATTTTATATGGGGCTCAGTAAGTTACAGAGTAACAGGGATATGTTTTATTGCTTGATGCAGTTTTTAAAGAAAATGGAACATGTTCATTTATTACAATTTTGTTTAAATGTTGGTAAGTTTTAGTTAATTTCATTTTAAACCTAGACAAATCAAAATTATTTTTAAGATGAATTTAACCAATTACTATTGAAACCAGACCTTACCAAAGAACAGTTGGAAAAACTGCACACAGATGCGCAAAAACTTTACAAAGAATATTTATATAAAGACAGTGTTAATTACATCAGATGTTCCGAAAATATTTCAAACGAGTTTAACTCTTTAATAAAAGAAGGGGTTCATAATATTGCTAAACTTAGAACCTCTACGCCTCTGTTTATGGCGTATGAACACACTTTTAGCGTTTTGGAAAACATATGGTTGCCACAATTTTACCACAGCAGTGAAGTAAGAAACTGTGTAAATATTGGATATAAGGTTTATGTAGATTTTATATTTCAGTTTTATTCGTATATATGTGGTTCTAAAGCCAATTCAACATATGATAAAACAGTTAAAAGGTAATTTTTATACTCTTTAATACACATTATATAACTAACAAACTATTTTACTAACATAGCTTGCCTTTTAATTTTGGTTCTCCTGTAAGGTAAGTTCAATTTGTTCACCTTAAAATACATAAATACTAAACCTATTTTTTCACATAGAGCAAGAAAATATAATGATATACCCATTCAAACCAGTACAGTTTCTAAAATAAGTAGTGGTTTTGGTAAAATTAAAGGGGTTCTTAAGGCAAATCAACCAATAGAAGGAGCGCTTTATCCGGAATGTCATAATTTGACGGAAAATGGGACCGTGGATGACCTAATATTTAATGAAACTGACGGTATATTCAGGGATCTTGGTTCATGGAGACTGTTTATCACAGATTACAGAGTAAGCAGTAACAGTTTTATTCCTCGTCAATTCTTAACAATAAAAAAAAACTTTACCTAGTTTAAGAAACACACTTATGCAAAGCTTTTTTGTAATTTAAGACTCCCCCTAAGGCCCACATTGTTAAAAACTCATGACTCCTCCTCCCCCCAAACTTTATCCGGTAGATATTAAAATTAATAATACAGAAAAGAACATGTTACAGTTAGTCGCAATTTGTCAAACGTTTGAGAGAAAATTTTCTTATAATTTTTTAATCAGATTTTTCTTTTAGATTGCTTCTTCCAATTTTATAAAACTGCAGTTTTAACCCAAATTATTATTGTTCTAGCAAAGCCCAACAAGTAAAGACATGTTCTTTAGAATAAACATAGTAAGACTGGACAATGTACCTGAAGGCACTAAAAAGCAGTGGGAAATAAATCGTAGAGAACAAGACTTTTTTAGCCTTAAAGCAAAATTAATTGAATTTCATGGTGAAAGCGAAATTTCAGACTCTCCTTTACCATCAAGAAAGTAAGTGTATCAAATATTTTCGACCAGAAAATGTGCTTCACTTCGTATATTTCAACAATTTCAGGAGTAACCCAACTATAGAGACAAAAAAAGAAAAATACGAAACGTTTATCAGAAAATTACTACAAAAACCATTGCTGCGGGGAAGCGATTTATTGTACATTTTCCTGACATCAGAAGAAGATTTTACGGAACTCCTAGTAAACAGTACGCCAATGGGACAAGAATTAGGAAATATTTACCAGTCGGTAGCGCACAAGTTGCGCAAAGAAAAAGGGCAAAATTTGGATCCTTTCATGACCGCGTTCTTGAACTCTACCGGAAAATCCAGCAAAGGGTAAAAAACAAAATAATAATTGTGCCGCCATCGGCTTTCCTTTGAAGTGGACCGCCTTTTTGCCGATTATAATTTGCAGTCAAATCGGCACGGCTTTGTCATATAGCATTTAGTAACTAGGTACCATAACGAAAAATATAGCAAAAATGCATCATCACTAGATTTTAGATAAAATATGCAATAACCGGTAAAAATGGGTTTTATAGGCAAAAACATATAATCCGGACACTAGTAATAACAGTTTTGTTTAAATTTCTACATTTTTAAATCAATCATCCGGAAATACCATTCATATTTTTCGGGGGGGTGATTCTACCCTTGTGAAAATTTTTCTCTGAGAAAGTTTTAAAGAGTTTTTAAAGTCTTACTTTCTCTTAAAAAGTCTGAATAATACTTATTATGTCGGAAAAAGTCAGAATAAGACTTATTAAGTCGGAAAAAGTCTGAATAAGTCTTAGTAAGTCAGACTAATTGCAAGAGTTGGGAGTCTTTTGGAAGAGTTAATAAGACTTTTTAAGAATTTTAGCAGAGATTTAGCGATTAAAATAAATATCCGGAATTATTCAGAGATGTTGTATTTGGTTATTGCAAAAGAAAGCACAATGAAAAGAATTTATAAACACTGTTTTTGTGTTGTTATAAGGCTTATAAAAACACAGAAGCAATGTTTACCATATAGGTTAACTAACTTTATTTTAATTTAATAGAATAAAGCCGGATTTATAGTTCTAAAAAGTAGGAGTAGCAGTAGCAGTAAGCCAGTGTTACCAATATAATAATATAATAAAATGTCTTTATAAATGTCTGCAATGTGATTGGCTGGAGTAGGAGTAGCAGCAAGAAAAGTTAAAACTTGGCCATCTCTTACGCCAACGACCTTGGTTGCTACTGAACGCTACTCCACCCATTCACATTGCAGCATTTATATTATTATGTTGGCAACACTGGCTTAGTGCTACTGCTACTCCTACTTTTTAGAACTATAAATCTGGCTTAAAACTCTTGGGAGTTACGTTTGGTTTGTGTACATACAGGTCCCTTGTTGATTAAGGTATGTATAATAACTATAACAATTCTTCGAAACGCATAGCCATGATATGGTCGACAGTCGAACTCAAACACAGATTATAAAACTCATAAAACAAATATGGTTGATCTTCGAGCTGCTTTCATTGGTTCATGTGTTTTATACAGTGTTGCCGGATGAATGTCATAAAAGTTCCCGACCAAAAATTACAAAATAGGTACTAAAAAACTAGTTATATTTTAAATTTACTAACGCATTCGCCCTGTTTAAAAAAAAATTAAATTAATTTAAAATTTTTATTTAAGTGAATAAAACAGGATATCCTATATAGAATAAAATAATTATGCATTTTTAGTAAACACACAATATTATTTACCTAGTGAAAATATCTTCAGTTAGTATTTTGATCGAAACTTGCAAAATATCCGATTTTACCCGCTTCAAAATTCTACCCGCAAACATGACGAAAATACCCGATATCCGAGTAAAATACCCGCAAACGGAAAATCTTGGTAAGTAGTGACAGGAGAGCTATCTTGAAACGCGGGAAGATGCCATCACAAGACAGATCAGCTGTGCTCTAATTGGTCAGCTGAGAAAATCGATATTGTGTCTAAAAAGGGTTTGGAACAATGGTTAGATGAATATTTGCGTATAAAGAGAAACTATAAAAATAAAACAGTACAGTGGCAACAAAAAGTCAAGCGCATCGTATGTAAAAAATTATAATTGTTATAATTACTACACCTCACATATGTTATTATATAGGTAATTATATAGTTTATTGCATATATGCAATAAACTTGGCGTATTACCACCCCGGCAAAATGTTAATAAATACTTTTCTTTGTGTTTTATTTTATAATAATCAAATACAACCTCTCTGTATAATTCCGGATATTTATTTTAATCGCTATATATAGGTTCCTACCATATCTTGCTATTAGTCTGACTTACTAGGACTTTTTCCGACTTAATAAGTCTTATTCTGACTTTTTCCGACTTAATAAGTATTATTCAGACTTTTTAAGAGGAAGTAATACTCTTATTTTTACTAATTAAAAATTTCCACAAGGGTACACGTAAAAATAAAAAAAACCTAGTGGCGCAATAGGCATTTTTAAACTTTCACAAAATAAGGTTATTTTTTAATCATTATTTCAGGTTTTGTTGAATTCTGTTAATAAGTCATGGGGCCATTTTCAAGAAAAACGCTATTAAAAATGTCTCGCCAATGTCTACAACAAAAACGCAATTTTTTTCAATTTTCAACAATTCTTATTATAGTAAATGCTTATCGCCGACGGTGGACTAGTGGTTAGTGCTGCTGACTACAAGCCGGAGGTCGTGGGTTCGAATCCCACCAGGGGTATGGCTGTTTATTTGTGTTTGTCCTATTGTGTAATAGTCCTTCGGAGGGGACTTTAAGCCCGCGGTCCGTTCCTACCCCTAACCCGCACAAGCCATTCAGTTGGCTTCTGGGACTTCTTAGGAAGTAAGGGTGGAACTAAAAGAGCACTTTTGTATATAAACTTTTTTTTGTATATAAAAGGACCTAACGCGTTTTTCATAAATCTTCTAATCTTTTTGAAAAATCCAAGTTTATTTCTTATGGAATCACAAGCATTTACAACCCTCGGCAATAATTCCTTAACGTTACGAATTGGGACTGCATGCACCAATGATTTTAAATATCCCCATACACAGTCAAAGTCGAGTGTATTTAAATCTGGAGAACGAGAAGGCCACGGAATAGGCTCTCCTCGTCCTATCCTTTGGGCGGCGTAAACTTCATCTAAATTCGTCCATACGCACAGAGAAAAAGCTTTTATATTGTGAATGGCTTAACCATTGAGCCAATGGTATACTGTATTTGCAATACCTGAATTACAGATATGATCAAATGATTGTCTTACTTTTATTTGTGCAAACATTGAATTAAATTGTGATTCTATTAAATCCGTATTAAAACTTAGTTGGTTAAGAAATTATTAAATTAAATTGTTATTTAATTGAAGCCACAATGAATCTTAATGAAAAACTATCATTGACATAAATAAAGTTATGGTTTCTAATGAATGGCTACATTAAATGCAATCAAAGCTCTATTTCTTTTAAATATGTATATTCTTGTGCAAATATTCGTTGTATAATACATTAATATTAACTTTAATTAAAATGAATTCTGGAAACTGCTTCTGGTAGTCTTGTGTATACACAGGTTTTTCGATATAGTCATATTTAATTAAATATTGTTAATTTTACCTTGATCAGATAAATTGATAAAATTTTCAAGGAAGGACACATTTCCATTAGGTTTAAATCTAAAGAGCCATTCACTCTATAACAAGTCAATCCCTTACCCTAAATTGCTCCAAACATATTTGATTGAATAAACTTTAACTTTTATTGGAGAAATGAAAAAACAATCAATTATAGCATTGTTATTGACTATATCAAAGCGTTTTTTCTGTGAGTTCGCAGAAAAATGGGGTGGGGGCCATCATGCAAAAAAAACATCGACAATCATCAAGAAGGTTTATGAAAACGTTTTGGACAAAATAAGTATGTTATTATTATGTTGATTTGGTAAGACGTGAGGACCTATCAAGAAATCGTCAATTATTCCTGCCCAAACGTTGATAGAAAATCTTTGCTGGTGCCTTGATTTAATAAAGACATGAGGATTTACATCAGTTGCCTCCATGAATTTGAAACAAGAGCACCCTTTTTAAGTAAAATTATCTTGAGAATTGCATTCCATTATCGAGAATTAAAAAAAAAACACAAAAAAATAAAAGAGGATTTTTTTCCCCGAATAGCCCCTGTTTCGCGCGCCTATCCGATTTGAAACCACTAGATAATTTCTTGTCCAAAAAATATTCCAGAAATAATAGTATACTATGCTTTTTCTTCTCCAATTAAGTAATTTTAATAACAAAATTTATTATAACCTAACTTTTTTCCGATTTTAAAGATCATTATAGTCGCCACTCGTATATATAAACAAATCTGACATCTGTTAATCTCACTTTTCCCGATTATAAACCAATCTATGAACCCGATTGGTTCAAATCACAGTGAATATTGAAATCGGCCAATCACTGATGCATAACAACGTGAATAATGAGTTTATTATTCCCGTTGTTAGGCAGGGCGGTTATATTGGTTATCATTATTTACGAAAAAAAAAAAACTAATAATCTCAATAATATGAAAAAGGAATAGAAAAGGCATCGTTATTCTCGCACTAACCGTTTCTGAAATAATTAATAAAAACCTGATTTTGCGAAACAGTTTAAAATGCCTATAGCCTGTTTATAGCAACTTTTTCTTTTATTTGTACTTGTAGAATCACCCCCCGAAATATATTAACGTTATTTCCAGGCACCCTGTACAGTGACGGACTAAGGAGGGGGCGGTCCGCCCTGGGTCCCCGGTCCAAAAGAGCCCCCCAAATCTTAAGAAGTCTTTCTCAGTTCAAAAAACTATCTAAAATTTAGGGTTTTAAAATTTCCGGAAAAATTGAGCCGGCGGAAAAAAAGGTTTTTTTTTCGGAAAAAAATTGGGAAATTTTCAAAAAAATTGACTGGCATTTTTCTCATTTTATTTAAAGAGTAATACGAAAAAATGCAAAAGTCAATTTTTCTTAAAATATACAAATTTTTACAGATATGTACCTAGGTACAGTTGTATTCATTAAAAAAGCGTACAAGAATTAGAATGAGAGAAAACTGTCAACATTATTGCGTAAAACCGGCTTTCCACTGACTTAAGTCACTATAACTGACAGTAGAAAATAAAAATGCCTCGTCAGTTAAAAAGACTCAAATAGTATCAAGAATCGAAGAAGAATGGTCAATTCGTACTGTGGTATAATAGAAATAAAAAATCTATATTAAAAATTAAGCAACGCTAGGAACAGGAAGATTTAATAAACTAAAAAGTTGGTTCAGGTCGTCCCAAAATGTCCACCCCTGAACAGGATGCTGCTTTTTCTGAGGATTTATGTGAAACTATACAACTATACTATACCTACTATACTGCTGGGAAGATATTAATCCAAATATTGTATTAAATTTAATTCAGTTCATCCCAAATAGATTGGCTCAAGTAATAGAAAAACAGGGATGCATAACTAAATATTAAATATTTTTTAATGTTTGTTTTTTTCATTTCTGAAAGGTAATAATTTTTGTAATATTATTTAATTAACCGACGTCAATGCTCTTTATAACCTATAGTAATTATTTTAATGACTTATGTCAGTGATAAGCCGGTTTTAAGCTATAATATTATTTTGACAGTTTTCTCTCATTCTAATTCTTGTACGCTTTTTTATTGAATACAACTGTACTATCCGTACACTGACATCGAGAAAAAAGTGAATTTCCGACGCTGAATATAATCAACATATCATTTTTTTAAATCAATTTAATTTAATTCAATGTCTATTAGTTTATTTTTTTTAAATTAAATTAATGTTAAGTTGTTGATTGCTACTTTTTTCAAATATATATATTAGGGTGGCCCAAAAAAAATATATTTTTTTTCTTCTCGTCTCTTGTGAAAATATGTTGGTTTGTCATGTTTTAAGAGCCGTGTCAAAAGATCAGCACCATTAAAAATTTTTTAGGGGTCGCTCAAGATTTTTAAAAATTATCAAAATCGTCAAAAATTGGATTTTTTTTTTATTTTAATTTTTTTTTTCGTTCCGATATTATTTTTTAATTTAAAAATAATAATGATTCTGAAAATTTCAAATCGATATTTTAATTTCTAAAGGTCGCTCAAGATTTTTTTAACTTCAAAGTAGAGTATTTTGAATGTTTTCGAGCGAACTCTGAATATAAATATCAAGGAACTTTTAGCGACCTTTAGAACTCAAAATATTGATTTAAAATATACAGAATTTTTATTATTTTCAACCTAAAAAATAATATCGAGACGAGAAAAAGAATTAAAATAAAACAAAAATTCAATTTTTGACGATTTTGGTAATTTTTAAAAATCTTGAGCGACCCCTAAAAAATTTTTAATGGTGCTGATCAAAATACAGGGCTCTTAAAACATGACAAACCAACATATTTTCACAAGAGACGAGAAGAAAAAAAATATTCTTTTTTTTTGGGCCACCCTAATATATATATATACAGGGTGTTTCTTTTAACTTGAGACAGCTCAATATCTCGAGAAATACGCATTTCACGGAAAAATGTCTTAAATAAAAGGTTAATGTGACCAAAGGGGACATTATTTGGTGCTACCGCTAGCCACCCCCTACCCCTCCTTAAGGGTGAAACGGGGGGTAACTTTGGAAAGTCAAATGGAATGACCCGATTTTTTTCACAGAGTTTGGTAGTACATAAAAAAATGAATAACTTTTATTTAAAAGTTTTTTCAATTTATCAACAGATGGCGCTGTAATTCAAAATTTAAGAAAAAGGGGTTTCCTTGTAAAATGTATTATTTGAAACGTTTGAAAAACAAAAATTAACATTAAATCAACAATAGTCGGCTCTGAAAACAATTTATAACAAATGTTCGAAATGTCGTCCTTCCATTTCGACACCAAGTGGAGCACCAGCGTCCCTGGTCGGTAAACGTTTGGTGCGGTACCTTAAGCGAACGATTAATCGGACCCTTCTTTATTGACGGTGCATTAAATGGCGAAAAGTACCGGAATTTCCTAGAAAACGATCTGACGGACCTTTTGAAGGATGTACCACTAGCACGGCTCCAAAACATGTGGTACCAGCAAGATGGTTGTCCTGCACATTATTCGACAATTGCTCGAGAGGTGTTGGATCGGGAGTTCAATGGCCGGTGCACCGCGGTGGATCGGTAGACGTGGTCCAGTAATTTGGCCTGCTCGATCACCTGATCTTACGCCACCAGACTTCTTCCAGTGGGGTTACTTGAAAGAAAAAGTTTACGCTGCAATGCCTACAACTTGGGAGGACATGGTGGAGCGGATCAGGAACGCCTGTGCGGCGATACCGCCCGATATGTTGCGCGTTGTGTGCCAGAATTCATTACCCGCATTCAAAAATGTGTTGAAATGGAATGACGACATTTCGAACATTTGTTATAAATTGTTTTCATAGCCGACTATTGTTGTTAATGTTAATTTTTGTTTTTCAAACGTTTCAAATAATACATTTTACAAGGAAATTCATTTTTCTTAAATTTTGAATTACAGCGCCATCTGTTGATAAATTGAAAAAAGTTTTAAATAAAAGTTATTTATTTTTTTATGTACTACCAAACTCTGTGAAAAAAATCGGGTCATTCCATTTGACTTTCCAAAGTTACCCCCCGTTTCACCCCTAAGGAGGAGTAGGGGGTGGCTAGCGGTAGCACCAAATAATGTCCTCTTTAGTCACATTAACCTTTTATTTAAGACATTTTTCCGTGAAATGCGTATTTCTCGAGATATTGAGCTGTCTCAAGTTAAAAGAAACACCCTGTATATATATATATATATTTTCAAAACAAAATCAATTTTTCACAAAAAATACATTTTTTAAGGCCTATTTTTTTCCCAATTTTTTCGGTTTTTTTTCGACACTTACCATAACATATAAACTGATTAAAAAAAAATACCCCGGAGATTTTAAGTTTTAAATGAATAACATGCTATGAAAAAAAACCAAAATATAAAGTCAAAACTAAAAAAGATTTTTAATATTTTGGTCTCGGGAGCTCCCAGCTGCAATCCATCAGGAATTAGAAAAAAGGTTATAATTACATTAAATAATGGTTAATCTTAGACTGCCGTGAGTGGGCCCCTTGAAAAAAAATTTAAATTATTAACAAGTTCAAATATAAGTATACTTATAAGTTCGCTGGAAAAAGCTTGTAATCAATTTTCATATCCCTGATTACATTAAGAGTATTGTAAAGGACTTGCTAAGAGGATCTACTAACAAATTTAAAATAACAAAACATCAATATTTACAAAACAATCACATTATTTCATAAGCAGACTAGGGCCCCATTTTATTTTACCGCCCCGGGCCCCCTACTTCTGCAGTTTTCGAGCGCGCAAAAAAATGAATACTCAAAAATTGTGCAAATGTTAAGACTGTAAATTTGATTTTTTTTAAATTTGTTAAAAAGGGCAGATTTTCAAAAATATCAATTTATTTATTAATTTTTATTTTTTCTTACTTTTTTTTACTAAACAAATTTTAAAAGGCAGCTGTTTAATTTCTGAAATATTCTAAAACAAAGGAACTCACTACTTTCCATTGTTTATACTCTAAAATCCGCATAAATTCATAAAAAATGCTACAATTTTTGATTATTTAATTTTTTGGGTTCCACTTTGGACCCTCAAAAGTTGAAGCAAATTTTAAAATTTAATAAAATTATTAATCAAATAAATTCTTGTTCTTCCCACATTGATTGCATGGCAGTGTCTTTTATAAATAAATTTAATAATTATTTTTTTAGTAAATTTGATTGGGCAGAATTTGGGGATGATATGGAGGTACTGTCAGCAAATGTAAACCGAGTTGATCCATTTCCAAAAACATACAGAAACCATATATTTAATGATAATTTTGGAATTAACTATCATTCTTTAAAGGAGGGATCCAGTAGCTCATTGAATATGGAAGGTTTGACTAACAGTATATTTTATTTGAGTAAGTAATTAATTTTGTAAATTTTTAATTAAAGGTACCTAATTTTATAATAATAATTGTTTTAGTGAAATTTATTTTCAAAGTTCCACATAGTATTTTACAAATTTATGCAATGTTTTGTAATTCATGTGGTGTTTTAATTGATTTCGTTTTAAAACGTTATATTGATTATAAATTGAAATCTAGTTTATCTCAAACTAATTTGGCGCATTTAATAGGATTGCTTGAAGGTATGTTCACATGTAATATTGTATATATACTAAAATTTATAAAATATACATATACTCGTATAGGTACTATGGAGCATGTATAAGACTTTTTGATGTCCCACTTTAACCAAAGTATTCTTTGACTTCACAGATCATATTCTTTGACTTTAACCAAGGTGTTTTTTAACTTTAACATTTGAACAAGAAGACTAAATAAATAACTCTTGCTATATATTCACAGCTTCTCAATGTGATGTAGATAATATTATTTAAGTTTTATAAAAAGCAGTTTAGTCACGGGTTTTAATTAGACACGAGCGCAGCTTGTGAGTGAGTGTTTAATAAAAACGAGTGTTTAGAAAGGTTTAAGTATAATTTAAAGCCAATTTTATTTACTAAACATTTGACATCTGACAACTCTCAGACGAATTCAAACTCACTTTTTACCAATTTATAATAAAGCCAACGTACCTCAGATGTTATTTTATCGAATTTTGGTCGTTTTTTTCATTTAACATTACATATCGGAGTGGACTTTAAGTCCGCGGTCCGTTTCTACCCCTAACCCGCACAAGCCATTCAGTCAGGGACTCCTTAGGAGGTAAGGGTGAAACTAAAAGAGCACTTTTTTATGTAACTTTTTGTATGAACACATGTTGGTATTATATTATTTTTATTTATCTATTTTAAAAAAAATTTTCTACTCCCACCTTTAAAACGCCCTTTATCGTACATGTTTCCATGACACTAAGTGACCTTTTAAATACACATTGACAAGTTGTGGCTTTATGGCGCTTTAGTCACGAGCTGAAGTTAGCAACAGGTTTTTAGTCACGGGCTGAAGTTAGTTTTAAGTTAGTTGACAGTTGTCAAATGTCATACAATCGTTAAAATAATGTGCCTTTCTTGTAAAATAATACTAAATGTGAAAATTATTTTATTATCTCAATACAAAAGTATTAAATAGTTTCTCAACGCCAATATTTGAAAATTTTATATGAACCAATGTTCATATAAAATTTTCAAACCTTTTTAATTTCGCCGGCAGTAAACTATAACTTAAATTCGGGCACGGCCGTGCCCGGACTCCACTGTAAAGTCCTCATAAAACATTTTCTTTACTTTCACTGTGAAAAACTGTCAATTTTCAAGAAATACATTTCGAATTATAACCTTTATAATCTGTGTTTATAAAATATAAAAACGTGACATTTGACGGTGACACACAGATTCCCCTATTGTTTCATACAGGGCGCTCTATACAAATATTTTATTCAAATCACAAGCTCGCTCGTGGCTAAATTAAATTCGTGTATTAAATGGCGTTTATCAAACTTGATACATAATATACTATTATCTACTCCTACATTGACGAGTTGTGACTTTATGGCATTTTAGTCACGGGCTGAAGTTAATAACAGTGGCTTTTGGGCATTTTAGTCACGGGCTGAAGTTAGCTTTATTATAAATTGCGAAAAAGTGAGGTTAAATTTGTTAAATGTCAAATTTTATGAAATAAACTTGTCTTATTTCTGTTCGTCGTAGATAAAGTATAGTATGAAACTCGTTTTATAAACTTCTCTAGACACTCGTTTTTATTAAACACTCGCTCGCAAGCTCCGCTCGTGCCTAATAAAACTCGTAACTAAAATGGCGTTTATAAAACTTGATACATAATATACTATTATCCACTCCTACATTGACGAGCTGTGACTTTATTGCGTTTTAGTCACGGGCTAAAGTTAGCTTTATTATAAAAAGGGGAAAAGTGAGGTTAAATCCGTTAAAAGTTGACAGATGTCATATAAACTTCTCCAGACACTCGTTTTTATTAAACACTGCTCGTGCCTAATAAAACTCGTAACTAAAATAATTTAAATGACATCGCAATAGCTATACGAATGGTAAACTTATAAAATATAACTTTTAGAAGTGGTTTTTCAACAACATACTTCACCTTTAAAAGAAGAGCTGGAGATAAGAAAACAAAAGGCTTTCAAAGGCCTTGAGGAAATGATACATCCTTGGATAAACAAAAAAATTTTTAAAGGCAGTTTGTCAAATGGCATGTTGGCCATTTTGGAAATATTACAAAATCCACATTATAATAAGCATGTGAGTAACGTAAATTTTAATAAAAAGTTTTTGTTAACATGTCATATTCCTTGCAGTTAGTCTACAATTTATTAGATATTATATTGGTCGAAATGTATCCATCTTTAGGTAAAGTATGTGATAATATTTAATTTGTATTATAGTTATTTTATAATAAATTATTTATTTTATTTTTAAAGGCTTTTATTTAAAATCCAAACGTCTTAAATAAATAAAAGATATAGGGTCTCTCAAGTGGATCACTAAAAAAAAAATTTTTTTCGTCAGTAATTTATTTTTTACGTTAATTAAAAATATGACTAACTCGAGTTCTAACTCAGAAAACACATAAATCTGATTATGTAATGGCCCATTACATAGTTTCATGGCTTAATAATGGAATTTTTAGCCAAAGCTTTTATTGTACTGGGCCTTTACAGGAATATTTTAATATTAATTTTGAGAAAAGGCTAATATTTCTATATTTTACCATAAAAGACCCATATATGGCAATTTTCAGTATCAAGTTAATGGGACTTTAAAAAACCATTGAAGTGACAAATGTTTTCTGTATATAAAACTTGCATGAACCTTTAATAATCCTTTGGTTAACGGCATATTTTAAAAATGAAAGGAATTACGTAATTCCTATAGCTTTAACCCAGTAAACATTTGTGATATCACAAAAAAGTCACGACGTGACATGTCACAACTTGATATCCAATTGCTGGCACAGTGATTAAGTTTGTCGTTTTATGTCAAGCAGTGACACGCGCGTGATCTTTTTATGTCACGACGTGACCCCGCAGGGACGAAACTTTTCATTTAAATGACATTACTTTAATTTGTTCATAATACGTTAATTACGTATTATGTTATTATTGTTAGACAAAGACTATTTTCTTTAATACACGTTATAGATTAATGATTTTAAACAATTATTTCCCCAAAAATATATAACTTCACTTTATATTTGTTTGTGATTTTGCAAACGAAGAAAAAAATTAAATTCGTTTCCGTTTGATTTGTAATCTATAAATAATAATAAACTTAAAAAAGCAGTATCATACCCAAATTTTATTTTAAATATCTATTTGGGATGTTCCAGCGCCGCCTCTGGATTAACTAAATTTAATTTACATTAAATTAAGCCCTTTGCCTACTTCTAAAAACCTAAAAGGTTTTATCAAATTTGCCCAAAAAATAAATATGTGACACCCTGTATACATGTAGGTATTATACTTATAGGATACTTGATGCACCCTGTATAAAGGTAGTGTGCAAAACTTGTCTTATTATTATTTTATTTAAATAAACGTTGACTGTTAATATTTTAGCCCATAATTTTGTTTCACCCAAGGCCACAAGTATGTTGAAGCTGTGATATACGATAAGAGGGTCGTTGCTATTGTTACTAGCGATGCAACGTGTTTTAAAAGACGTTGCATCGCAATTAACGATAGCGATGACGCTTTTTTCGTTCACAGCTCCAACATGTTTTAAATATTCCCCTGCACTTTCGCTCGCGCATGCGCGCTAACAATGTCATGGAGTGATATCCCATTGAGTGCGTATTGCGCTTGAATGTCACGACTTGATATCCCATTGATTGTGTATTGTAGAAACATATGAATGCGCCAGTGATATCACGATGTCACGACGAGATTTCGGAGTGATTTCAATACGCAATCACAAATGTTTACTGGGAATAGTGTGTTATACCACGTAAAATATAATAATTATACCTAATGGTTGTTAAATTTAAATAAGTAGGTGCATTTTTAATTTTACAAATTTTAGAACTCGTATTGTAGACAAAATACCGCCAAAGAATTTAGTAGAAAGGTTTAATTGATAAGGTCAAAATTGGGGCAATTGCGAATAAAAGATGAATACTAGCAAAGAAAACCTGTTTTTTTTTGTTATAGGGGACAATGTACCAAAAAATCAAGTGAACTTATTTGTAAATATACATATATTTTAATTTTAAATATTTTCTATTTAGTTTTTTTAATTTATATAAATATGGATTCCATTTATTATTTAAAATAAAATTTTTATGTTTTACATTTACAGGTCTTTATTTCAACACATTGCTTTGTATTTTCTCTTACAAATTTATGTATGGTTTAGTATTACATTTCACGATAATATATTAATTAATGTAATGGATAAGTAAAGTATTTATTATGGTGGATTAAACGTGGTTTGTTTATATTTATTGGGTCGAAAATTTCACAATAAATGAAAATTTTTATCCGGACCATCAGAAATTAATTAAACAAACCACATTTAGTCCACCATAAATACTTATTCATTCCCGGGCAACAATCGGGATTTCCTGTCATGATGATATCACGTGATTTTTTTTATCACGCGTTGATATCCTGAGTGCATACATCACAGTGATATTATGTAGAACACACGGTGTGATATTTGCGAATATTTTCTTGGATTTAAAGTATACAGTTAGTTTAAAGCCAAGAAAATATTAGAATGTTAAAGAATGTTAAACTGTTGATTCAATTGTTAAAATACTATTTCTTTCAATGTACAAATGTTTCGCAAAAATGAATATCCAAACACCAATGGCATAAAATATAATGTCGTGATTTTTTATGATCAAACACCGATGGCATAAAAAATTATGTCGTGATTTTTTATGCCATCGGTGTTTGGATATTTATTTTTGCGAAACATTTGTCCTTTGAGAGAAAAAGTATACCTACATATATGTGGATAAATACATTCAATATTTTTTTGGATTTAAATTAATAGTTAATTTACATCCAAGAAAATATTAAATGTATTTAACCGCAAAAACTGTTAATTCAATTGTTAACATACTTTTTCTTTCAATGTACGAATGTGGCGCAAAAATAAATATCCAAACATGTTGGTGCACCGATGGCATAAAAAATCATGTTGTGATTTTTTATGCCCAAACACCGATAGCCTAAAAAATCATGTCGTGATTTTTGATGTCATGTCATGGATATTTATTTTTGCGCCACATTCGCAGAGAAAAAGTATACCCACATATATATTGAATCAACAGTTTTTGTGGTTAAATACATTCAATATTTTCTTGGATTTAAATTAACTATATATAGTTAATTTAAATCCAAGAAAATATTAAATGTATTTAACAGCAAAAACTGTTGATTCAACATAATTTTTCTCTTAGTGTACGAACGTCGCGCAAAAATGATTATCCAAACACCGTTGGCATAAAAAATCACGACATGATTTTTTAGGTCATCGGTCAATCGCAAACAGCGATGGCATAAAAAACACGACATGATTTTTATTTCTCACGCAGTGACATCCGGATGATGTCCGTATGAATAAAATTTGTGAAAATCACGACGTGACGTTCGTATGATTTTCATTTATCACGCGGTGACTTCCGTATGATATCAGTATGAATAAAATTTGTGAAAATCACGACATGATGTTCGTATGAATATCACGAATGTTGTCCGGGTTACATTAATTAATACAATGACGATGGAGTTAACAATTTCTGATTATCGTGGAACATCCTTATTTAATAAATATATACCTACCCACCACATTTAATCTACCATAATAGATTCTTTACTTATCCATTACATTAATTAATAATATTACCGTGAAATGTAAAACTAAAATATTCATAAATTTACAATTTACATATTTTAAAAACTGTGGTTTAATAAATTGGGTAATAAATGGAATCCATAATATTTAAATAAATAAAACAATCCTTAAACGCAATAGAGAATATTTAAAATTAAAATATATGTATATTATATAAATAACCACTATACAATCTTCAACACCCCATATCAGAAACTTTAGCTTGCCACATTTGGACCTTTAATCTGCGATATCAGAACCTTAGCGCGCCATATCAAAAATGGAATGGTTGTTGTACTTAAGTGCCTTTCTTGACTGCCGCGGCAGTCAATAAAGGCACTTAAGTACAACAACCATTCCATTTTTTGATGCCATATCCGTTACATACAAAGGTGAACACGACATAATAGTTTTATGTGCAGTTTCATTAGAGTTAGCCTTTATAGGGCCTTTAGTTCATTAAAGTCACGTTTATAAAGGGCCATTATAAAACCTTTACGGTTGTGTTTGCTGGGAATTTGACTTCTCCGGCTGAACTGGTTTTAAAATAAGGTTTCATATATTGTACAATTAATGTACGATATAATTGTACAATTACAAAAGCAACTGTACAACAACATAGAGAAAAAAGATTATTTGAATGAATAATATTCATGAGGTTAATTATAGTAAAATATAACGTAAATATTTAAATGATATCGTATTAAGGTATTTAGGTACCTATAGGTAGGTATACCTACCATTTTCTGAATATAGGTACTAATATTTAAATTTAAATGTAAATTTCATCTTTGTGGGAATATAATATAACTTTAAAGCAAATATTGATAGTTTAATCATTGAGTAAGATGTTCTTTACTCAATGGTTTAATAGTTAACATACCATGGTGCATTAATTTGAATATACTGCATTTAAAATTATTATAAAATATTTTTAATAATTTTCAAAACACAAAACAAAACAGCATCTGGAATTAAAATAAATGTAAAAATAAATAACCATATAATTATTGTAAAAGATGCATTAAACAAATGCAAACTTTTTTAATTAGTTATTTATAAATAACAATTTCATAATTTGGTCTGTTTATGTGTCTGTATTAATTAAACATTTATTTTATTGCTAAATTATTTTTATGTTTATCGCCATATTTTCCTTTAATTTTATGGTGTTGATAATAAAGTTTAAAAATAGCGGAAATATTTAGGTTTTAATTTTTAAAGGTTTGTAAACGATTTACATAATATATTATATTGTACCTAATATTTTTTTTATATACCTACATGTTTCCGTATATAATTATTTGAGCTATTAATATGAATAACAGGATAAAAATTCAGCAATTTCTAAAATTTAACAATTCGTATCATTAGCTAACTTAAACAAATTGTTACACCTTTCAGGGTTCTTTAAAATTATGCCGCTAACAAAATGTTTAAACATTATAATGTTTGGATGCATCGATTATTACATTCAAATATTTATATTGTATATAAAAAATTAAATTCCTTAATAAATTACGTGGAAATTGTCCGATTGTTAGGTAGTATTGGGTGTGAATTTTTAGCATATT